AAAATTAAGACATTTGTGTTACTTCGAAAAGTGCTTCTAAAAATGAGCGGCCTTTCTCGAGTGCGCTGAAACAATAAATTGGAAAAAGGAATAATAAACAAAAGCCAAGCAATTTTCTTTTGCTCTTCGATTAAAGAAAGTTCTAATTCTAATGCAAGTATTTGTAACAAGTGTCAAAGATGTTTATAAGATTGTCGCTACAGCGCACTGCATTCACCCGTAGTAGTCTGTGGGGACGTGGAAACCATATGGCACTGTTTTTATGGAAGAATTATGAAGCGTGGATTTGCACTCCAGTTCATCTGTACGCTTTATTGTGTTCTGTACCACTTTTCAGTAATTTGAAACTCTACAAATCATAAAGTTGTGACCGAACCCGATTTTGATATACCTGAGGTTATTCCGTTTCAGAGATGCAGAAGCTTCTTACCAGAATTTCCGGATGGCATTTGAAATCGAGGAAGGAGTAAGATTGTGATTGAAGAAAATAGTACTCAGAAATGATGTTGATGATGTGCCACCTAAGAATAAGTCCATTATGTTCTGAAAGGTTTTCCTTGTTTGGTAGTAGTGTAGATTTCCCGGTCTCTATTAATGAAAAAGTGATTACGAATGGAAATGTGGATGAGATGAAACCTTTGGACGTTTTTAATATGAATGATATAGAATCTGATTTTTTTGCGCCCACATCGGCTGCGAAAGTCCTTGTGATAGCTAAGCAACAGTTTTCACCCACATGTAATACCAGATACCACTAGGCCCTAAAGATCATCAACCTGGTCTCTACTTCTTTTACGTTCAGTTCTTTTCACATCTGCTGATTAACTGACCGATTGACTGGCTTTTGGCGAGAAATGTCTTATGATTTTCAACCTTTGCTGAGCGAACAAACGTAATATTGACTGGCATTAGACGGTCCACTTACTACCCATCACACAATCTCCAGAATCTCACTCTTTGGATATATTTGTAATTTAATGCATTTGACAGTCATATCATTAGATGTGAGCCAGGGTGAAACAGATGGTTGAGAAATAGGAGTGATGTAGAAACAAATGTGACAGGGACTGGATCGTTCTTGGCTTTTAGAAGCCCGACTTTCCGTTGAAGGTGGAATTTTTTAGCGTACTTACATTTATAAAGGGAGGATAGTCGGAAAGAAAAATATTTTTGGAAGACTACTACATTCGTTTAATTTGCTGGCGTAAAAACCACATAAAATTACATACTATACATAAATGTAATGGGTTGGCTGTTTGATTAACCCTCGGTTTCGGTAAAGGGCCACGTAGGTGCTCCGTCGTTGTACCCTTTTCGGGTAGACTGGCCTCCGGGCCATGCCAGTAGCCCCTAATCCCTCCTGTATATCGAATATATATATCTTGTCTGAGCATTATGTCTAATCTCGTCTCAAGGGAAATCTCGGGGCGCTACATCGGTGGCAGCGGATAGCAAACCCGATCTCAAAGGACGCCTTTTTCAGATTATTACGGCTGGTTGGTAAATCTTGACGAGGTAGGAGAAGTGCGTATGCTGCGGATAAGGAGAATCAGTGAAGGCCCCTAAAATAAGGGTTGATACTTGACGTCTACCTTCAACAACTAATCCGGTTCCGTGGCTTGCAGGAAGGCTAATAACAACTGCAGAGATCCTAGTCGTGAACCATCCAGCAAAGTTTATTATGGACCTGTATAGAAATATTAAATACGTAAAACGTAATGCATCCTCCACTTCTCTACTAGCTAGTTGGAAGCCAGATAGATATGGCTGGGCAGCACCGAAGTGAGAACAAAGTAGTAAAAAGGAATAAGCACAAAATTTGGCCCTACCGAACTGCATTAAATCCGCTTCTTTGTTACATAAGTCGCCTTTTGATCTAGTGTTCCTACGACTAGCGATGGGCGTGGGCAATGGCCAGCACATTCCACCGACAACCGAAACAGTTCCAAATTCAGTGGGATTACCAAGGGGAATCAGCAAAGCTGCGGTCAAATATCTCCTCAGTTGCATGGAAATTGGATGACTGGCACGATTGGAATGTGAATGTTGCACGTACAGTACTAATAACGTTGTGATGGTTGACGCAAGAGGTTGATCAAGGTGAGCACCGGGGACAACAATCATAAGAGGAGTGGGGTTATGTAATGCGTTGGATGATTGTTTAACTCTTGGTTTTGGTGAAGGAGCCACATTGGGTCTCCGCCATTTCACATTTGTCGGGTGGACTGGCCCCAAAGCCAGGCCAGTAGCCCCAGACCTTCCGTATGCCGACTATGTATATTCTGCCCTACTATTGTGTCGTCTTTCATCTTCAGGGAAGCCTAGGGAAGCTACGTGTATGTTGACAAATTTTTATGCCAATTTACTACCCAACTCCATTTTTCATAATGCTTTGCTCATTGCATAACTAATATAGCACTTCATGATTCTAATTAAAGTCCTTTTAAAAAGTAATAATATTCTTAAATTTAATGCTAGAGATAAAATAACGTTTTAACAGTAGAAAACACGTATGAAGGTCACAAAAATTATTAGACATTATACTTCACAACATTTTCATTCAATTCGCTTATCATTAGGAGTTAATTAATAAGGAAGAAACCACATATGGAATGTCACTTTCTAGATTAATTAAACAAGTGGAAACTTCCTTGAAAAATAGGATAAAATTAATAGAATACGGTTTATTATTGCAAACACACACTGTTAGTCCTCTGTATTATGTGCCATATTAATTCATTTTTAAGAAATTTAGGTAGTTTGGTCATCGACATAGCTTCCAAGATCCGACACTCTTCTTCAGTAACATTCGATACGTCTTAGCAACCAAAGTTTTCTCTAGTAGGAGGGAATTGCAGCATCATTTCAAACACTCACATCTTCAATAATATCCAAAAGGTCAGATGGTGCAACTACTAAAACGCTTATAAACAGAAACGCATTTATCAAATATATCAACAGGAAGTATCACGTCATGAATCCCGCCACGATCCTCGGCTCCAGAGGAGACCTCTCCGACAAGTGGTGAGGTCTTCGTATTTACGACTGTTGGATCTCCACCACCTGAAAATTGCCTCCGCGTGCTCCTCTTCATGCCGGCGTGACCATCGGAAGTCGGCGAACAGTTTAGCACAACTGCGTTGACGTCTGGCGCGCAGTTTTTTAAGCCCTCGCAGATCAGGGAAGTCCTCCCTGTGAGTGCCTACTGACAAATTATGAGAAGGCATTATTGCATACAGTCATGCTCCACCAGTCAAAACCGGCTCACATTTTAAAGTAACAAAATATATTGGTCTGCCGGTTGTTATTCACTAATTTCGAATGTGTAAGTGTGCACGTCTCCTTAAATTAAGTACATTCAAAAGTGGGATCAAAATATCGTGTTCCTCATTGTCATAGCATTCCGACTTCCCGGTGTGAGCCAAAGTTTCAGAATCAACATCAACGGCACATCATTAGGGTAGTTCTTGGGTCCTTTTTATTACTCAAGCGGCATCTTCTTTTCTATCTCTAGGCTATTGTGCAATTTGTACTGATCTCTTGAATTTCAGTCATCTTGTAGTTGTTTATGCGAAGACTTAGATCTATTAGCGCCGACTGGATTTTACTTGCAAACTATGCCTGTCAAGGATCTGATAAGTACAAAAAAGGTGGCTAAAAATAACAAAGAACAAAGTATTTAAATGTAGTACGACTAGCTGATAAAACAAGGTCCACTGCAATGTTTGTCGTTTAAAAATTACCACTCAAACAAATACCTTTACTTTTAAAATGAGCTAGCGTTAAGGTAAGGAATAACAATACGCCAGCTGAAAGCAAATTTGTGGAAAAGGCAAATAAACTTATTATAAATCACATATAGAAAAAAAGGTGGATGAACAAGGTAATGAAGATAAATGATTAGAGGGCTTTTCTCTCACTAAATTGAAAACTGCCTTCCTCAAGACCCACTTTTCACCTTTACCGTGACGCTATTGGTTTCCCAACTCTTACAAATGACAACGTCAATTAAGCTTTTTCAATTTTTTTGTTTTTTTGCTCAGGAGGATTGACATTAAAATTCATTTTACCCTTCTATCAATACCCTTATAACATCCAGCATAGTCGCCTCGGAGAGTTTTATCACTAGATGGCATGATCAAGCTATTGGAGATCGGCAGGGCCATCACTCTTTGAGCTGTTTAAAATTAAAGATTTTGTAAAATTCGTCTACATTTTGTTTACTTCAAATTTCACTTCGATAAAAACTCCATTTTTGACTAAAGTACCTTTTGCTTTAATTCAAACATTTATTTCAAATTTCATCCTTATCCAGGATATACAATGGTCATAAAAATCCACCCCTCCTTGTCCTAGTAACTGAGTGGATTTTAACCATGTTCACCCTAAAAAGGTGAGTTTCTATACTTTGAAAGCGGAAGAATTCCAATGACCGACACAAAAATGTCGCCTTCAGAGCTAACCTTTAACAAGGATGAGGGATCATGTCAACAACTGAATCACGTGCTATCTCTGACTCCACGTCAGTATCGTTGAAGTAAATTTGCTAATGATTCTTGCAACATCAAAGCATAAAGTATTTGTGATAGTGAAGGATTTTACTTCTCACCTGAGTGTCTCAGTCATACCACCACTGGTAAATCTACCAGTAGGTGTCACTCAACTTGACTAAAAATTTGTTGATGCAGACGAAGATATTAAATAGGGCTGGTGAATTAGTATTACAGAGTCATTAGCCGATAAAGCATGCTTGATGGAGCAGTACTGTCATATTTTGGTCTTGTAAAGAGGAGTTAAATTACCAGTTTAATTGAACTTGTGGTTTGTATTGAGGAGGCAAAAAAAGCACTTCACTACTTAGCTGCTTGATGGCTTCACGTAATGGAAATCGGGTTTATTAAATCTAACGCAGATAAAAAAGACCGAAATACGAACTTCAAAATGCGAAAGAATAGTGAACCTGTCATCAGTAACTTTCCCATTAGTCTACCCTATCCCGTTTAGTTGATTTGATTGGCCGGCCCATCCTTTCGGATACACGATGAGTCACTCGCCTCCGTCGACCAATTAAAGCTCTCTGACTCATGCAAACGCCCTGGTATCATAGTCGGGCTCGTATATGGCATCTGGTACCTTATTCGACCCTTAATTAGGCTCTTAGGTGATAATCTTTTAGGGACACTTTAAAGTACTTAGTAAAAGTTTCATAAATTAAAACTGCAGGAAATTCAAGGCTTCCGTGAATTGATCTCCATGTCGGTGACATTATTACCCACTCATACCTCAAGTGATACTGTTCTTCAGACCTTTCTGTGTATACACAAAAAGCGGTTTTCAACTCGTACACCTCTTTGACGTCTAAAATGAGATCACGAGCACGGAGGAATGCACCCGAAGCCTTCCACTCTCTGCCTCAAAGAAGTTCGTATGGTTTTTGTTGAAATTGAGATGTGGAAAGGACCTACTGTTAATGATCAAGTTTGTAGCAGCTTGAAAGGAGGATAATTCCCGCACCAGAAAAAGAACTTACGACAATTCTGCAAGCGGATGAATAGTAAACACAAAGTGTACGGCAATAAATTGATATCAACTCAGAGAGATTCATGGGTAAGGCTGTAAATGAAAGGCAATACAATGGAAAAGGGATCCAGGGTGAAAGGATCTTACAACCTGCACTCGAAAAAGAATGGGGTCATCTAGTAGGCTGATGTGAGCATTAAGTCGGGCCTCCATGGCGGTAACATTTACCAAGAGGGTCTATTTTGAACCGGAGCTTTCGCTATCAGAGGCCGTGAAAGGTACTGTCGTTGTAGTACAAAGCATATTATCACTGAAAGCCGATGAACATTCGGCAAGTTAGGCCAGACACCGAAGACACATTCTTCACAAGAAAAATGGTTAAGTTTAAAACAATAAGAAAGATGTAGGCAGCGAGCATGTGCGGCATAATAACAGGTAGTAGAATTAGTGAAGGTGGCGCTTGCCAACGAGGGCAAAAACTCAATTCCGCTTGGAAGACTTCAAGCATGGTACAGTGCGGTAATGGAGTGCTCATTTGCTCATCACTAAGTCATTTGACCGGTGTAAGAGATTTTAAAGACTAAACGCCTGTCATTGACGATCCCAACAGTGGTGGCTCCATGAAGGGCAGTCATTTCCGCAACCATTCAGTCAGGGTGTAAAAGGCCAGCCTGATCCTGGACGGTTCAGTCGTAATGAAGTTTAGCGGACATATTTGAGCGCTGAGATAAGTGTAACTTCTAATTCTCGACTTGCGTTCTTTACAGCGCTATTTAAACTCCAAAGTCTTGGTTAAATCTAAACCCACTCGTAGGTCAGGCAATAGAAATGTAAAAGCAGGTCGCGGCTAGGTCATTTTACAGTGTACATTTAGTTTCGGTAAATATTCTTACGAGAGGTTACTGATATCTTTTAAAATCGCATTTGCCATACTTCTAGTTAGAAGGGAATAAGGTAGGCCGTCCTCATCGAAATTTACGAGGCGCATCGTTTGGACGCTACAAGATGGGGACAATTCGGTGCAGTTATACTTTCTGCACCTGTCTACACAACCACAATCTTCTCATCCACTGGTGTCATTATGTTCTCTTTAAACGGCCTGTGTCTAGTCTTCCAACCCTTCGGTACTTTCGGCATGAAGCTGCTTCCAGACTTTACCTATCGTATTAGGTCTATAGGGCTACATCTGACGCTACAGAGAAAGAAACAAAAAAACAATCGAAATTAAATCCCTCACCGTTTGTCCATTCCAATTCCTCCTTTCGCAGACCCCCGCACCATCCACAAGCGAGAACGTTAAATTCTTTACCTTTGGTGGCGTTGAATATGCAATGTGTGGAAAGGAGATGCGCTTGTAGACGACATTCCGATCTTAAATCCACTTTTCCGCCACCACTTTCAAAACGTCTCCAGCAGAGAACACAAGTGCTCCTCCATTCCACACTTTCAGAGCCCTCTACAGCAGCGAATCGACCTTGTCTAAGCGCTTGAGAAAAGTATTTTTTCAGAGGAGTCATGTGCCCACGCTTTAAAAGGTGTTTGTACTCTGAAGCTGCATTGAAATCACCGCAAACAGCGCAGACCTGAAACCTCCAATCGAGGAAACTACGCCCAGCTGAATGAAAACAAGCAATGTGTGCCTGGAGGGAAGCATTGCTAGGGAGACCGACTTCAGGTTGGACGGTGCTGAAGTCTTTAGAGGAGTGACTGCTGAAGGGGTGCAACTGACAGAGAGGACAGGAATAAATCCAGGTAGTGCGAGATTTGAAAAGCTTTTCAGCAAGATCTCTGGGCACAGTGCGATAACGTTTTGAATTCAACCACTGGAGGTACTCATAGCTTTCCATGTGGATGCCTTGAATATGCAACTCCAAAGGATTCAGACCTTCTCTATACAAAATTGAGTCGGTGGAAATTGGACGTGATTCCGACGATGACTTTGAAGCTTCCCAGAACTCTATTTCAGGGAGTTCCCGACTCTCACAGACAAAGTCGTGACATTCAGAACACCGTCCAGGCTGACGAGATGGATCATGAGCATAGCGGATGTGCACAGCTAATTCCAACTTAGATGCAAATCTTGCCATAGCTTGACATCGTTTCAACGGCATCGTCTTCCTTGTAATACGCCGGGGTGGTCGTTTTAAAGTACCCTTTGAAACGTCTTCTCCTTCCATGCTTTCAGCGCAGCAGAAAAGACACATAAAAGGAAGACCCTGTCGAATACTTCTAGAGGGAGCAAGGAAGTTCTTAAAATAGGCGGCCTTCTGTAGGAAGCAAGGGTGATTTTGACAACGTTTTTCCTCGTCCTCGTCTTCAAGCCTCCACGAAGCTCCGCATTGTCGACAGTTGAGAAGGATATCATGGAAAGATAGTGAGGAGTGTCGAAGGAGGAGAAGATGAGCGTGGAGTAAGTCTCCAGAAAGACAGTTGAGACCACAAAGTCGGCAGATGTAGCGGACATTGGCATGGAGATCACGAGTGTCTGCAGAAGCATCGACCTTTTTAACGCAGCTGGAAGAGGAAGGAATGCGTCGAAGGCGTACTCGTTGAGGTAGACGCTTGGCAGGTGGATTTGGCAGATTTGGAAGAGGAAGGGTAATGGACGACTGCGGTGGTGGGGGCGGTGGACATGGTGGAAGGAGGTGAAACGGAGGTTGGTGTCGCCGAACTAGTTGGATATTCGACGGTAGACGTCCATGTGAGGTGTAGGGACGGAGACTGGATTTCTGACGGGTGGATGAGGTAGTCATTTGGGATAACATACAAGCGCACACGCAAACAGCACACCGGTCACGTGGTTGTTTGAAGTAGATGAACTATCGATTGAAATCGTGCGTGGGAGATCTTGTTGCCGCCTGTCTTGACCATGACGAAGGCCTAGAATAGCATAGAAACGTGAATCACATGCACTTGATAACTATTTCCTCAGGGTTAGAATTTGTCGGAAATGTTATTTAAGGAGGAATTCAAAAGCAAAACACGAAACAAGCATGCTTATTGTTAGAACAAGTTTTGTTTTGACAGTAACGCGAGCATTCCGGTAAATCAGCAGAGTGGTTTCAAAAAAAAAGATATTTTATAGTAATGAACTCCTTGAGACTTTGAATGGCTTAAGAAAGGATACAGGCATTGGTAGGCAGTGTTGCACCCAACCCCGCTAGGGCACCCGGACACCGCTTGTGTAAAGTACGACTAAATGGGCGTGCAGACTTGGAGACAAATACACGACCGCCTCAACCAAACCGCTGTCACTTGTTCGGTGCAAAGACAACCGCGTTGACAGGCTGAACGCCTCAGCACAACAATAGCGGTACGCCCGTGAGTAGCCCCACCGTTGGAGACAAAGCCCAGAGGAGGCGGCGCTGGCCCCAACTAGTGCGCAGCGCCACGTGCTCGGCGGGCTCAAAACATCATCCCGAGGTCAGTCAGGCGCAGCACTGAAGCAACTGCCAGCATGAAGCGAAAGACCCCAACCGTGACCATAGGCAACCGCACCACCACCCCCAGCGCACCCCGAGGCGGCGCCACCAAGAAAGATCAAGAGCGAAAAACCCGATCCGACACCAACACCACCGGAAAGAGCACACAAAGCCATAGACAACCCACACCCACCAAGAGAATTAAAAACCGCAATTAGCAACAGGAAAACACCAACGCTTTGAGCAGACAGTACGATGACAACATTTTCTCTACTCAAAAACTGTACACAATGCAAGAAATTTGCGACACGATAAAGTCCTTTCTTTCTTCCGTTAACGGTCCTCCATGTAGCTGGCAATCTCCATGACGTCAGGTAGCTCACTGATGTTTACCTCGAATCGATTCTGGACATCGTTCAGAATATTGGCGTCGTGTTCGTCCGAAATGAACGTGATTGCCAGACCCTTGGTACCAAAGCGACCAGCTCGCGCAACCTAAACATAGCCAAGATACGTTATCAAGCTCAAATTTAAGTCCAACCTACTCTGTGCAGATATGTATCCGAGTCCTCGGGCATATCGTAGTTGAAAACAATATTCACACGTTCAATGTCCATTCCACGACCAAAGAGATTCGTAGCCACGAGAAGACGCTTGTGGAAGTTTTTGAAAGCCTGATAACGCTCCAACCGCTCCTCCTGGGACATTGCACGGTGCATTGCGATGGCAGGGAAGTTTTGGTCGACGAGAAGCTGCGCCAGGGCGATGCAACGCTGAACCGACTTGACGAAAATTATAACCTGCGAGGAACAAAAGCCGTTTTTACGGAGAAGAATCAGATGTGGTTCTGAACTCAATCGCCGGCGCTGGACACAGAAAGGAGCAGCCCGAGGTCGGTATTAGCATAGCAAGTCATCACATGCTCACTTGGTTGAACTGCAGCTCATCGAGCAGCTCAAAGAGCTTCCTATTCTTCTCGTTCTCCTTCACCTTGACGTAGTGTTGACGCAGCCCGTGCAGGGTCAACTTGGAGTCGTTGTCAATAAAGATTTCCAGAGGCTAAAATTGGAAAGAGAGATCAGGCGTTACGGCTAAGCTGAGAGCGACGCGTTCCGTGGTCGACCACCACCCGCATTAACTACGCTTCCTCGTCGTTGCCGTCACCGTGGCGGTAACCGCGTTGCCATTGCAAAACGACGCTTGATAATCGGTTTAGTTGCGCCTATCATCACCACCATCCCCACCACACGGTTTGCCGGCCAAAACGCGATTGGACGACATTTCTGCCCGACTTTGTGGGATCGGGAGACACCAGCGTCCGATTCACATTTTACTTTCCGAGGGAGCTCACTTTTTCGGGGTAGTGTTTTTATGGTTCTCGGTCGGTCGGTGGTCGCCGCGTTTCGCGATTTTTTTACCATCCACATCCCGCGCCCGTCACCACCAACGTACATCTTGCATAAAATTGCGACAGACGGGACGAATCTCTTTGCTCATGGTTGCGCTAAACATCATAACTTGTTTACAACGCGGCGTCATGCGAAAGATGTCCTGGACGTCACGACGCATGTCTAAGAGGAGTCACGAAGTTAAGGGCAACAAACCGAGGGTATCGAGCATCTTGTCGCATTCGTCGATGATGAAGTGCCTAATGTGGTCCAGCTTCAATGCCTTGTTACGAATAAGGTCAAGAATACGTCCAGGGGTGCCCACCACAATATGTGGCGCGCACTTATTCAGCGATTCGATGTCCTTTCTAAGTGGCATTCCACCGAAAAAGACCCCAACCTGGGACACGATGACCAGAATTAAAATAACCACGCTTACCTTAATTTTAGGCATGTACTTGGAGAAACGCTCGTACTCTTTGCTGATTTGATAGGCCAATTCGCGAGTGTGACAGAGGACGATGACTCGAGTAATACCACTCTCCTCAGGATCTAACTGCTGCAGCGTGGCAATGACAAAGACAGCGGTCTTGCCCATTCCCGACTTGGCCTGGCAAAGAACGTCCATCGAAAGAATGGCCTGAGGAATACACTCATGCTGAACCTCTGATGGATGCTCAAAGCCACAGTCCACAATAGCTCTCAAGACCTCGGGTTTAAGAATGAAGTCACGGAAGCCGGAGCAATGAACGGTGACATAGTCACCCTTCACAGCTCTTTTGGCCTGAATATCACCATTTGATTTGGAATCCTGTACGGTTTCCTGATCCTCCTCATCGTAATCCAAGAGCTCATTTTCATCAGCCATCGCTAAAAGACCTAAGAGAACAGACACCAATGGACAGGGAAACGAAAGTGAAAAGTTGAATGCCACCGAATCAACCATTTAAACAAAGTTTTCGAAATTTAAATGGCTAGTAGTTGTTGGTCTAGCCAAAATAAATAACAAGTTAATTTGAAATTTTACAACTAAAGTGCTGCAAGATAAAAGACTGACTCAGATATTAATATTAAACGAAAAAACCAAACGCAGTATTCCTTAAATTACAAATTCGAAAGACTTAGTAGATTATACCAAAAACCCTACCTAGAAAAGTCTGACGCAGCAGAGTGCCCATTAACTCTTTAGAATTTCTACAATTCCAACTTTTTTGCGTTTTATTTAATGGTTGCCTATTATGGGTGGACTACTCTCGATAATTCAGTTTTACATAATATGCAGGATGTTTACCACAGCTGATAAAAAGTCTTATATGTTAAATAAAATGCACACCCATATGTGGCAAATAATATTTAAATCAATTCGAGGGCATATTGGTATTTATAATGCAAAGGTTGCGTTATGGTCAAATAATTTTTTAAATTGGCTCTATGCATTCTGTGTGACGCGCATTGTTTTACTCATACCCTCAACCAACTATTTTGCATTGATAGATGCCTATTACTGATGCTAGGGGTGCTTTGAACTCTGCAGATGTAGCTGAAGGCTGTTGACATCAGGCGGAATTACAACCTTTGGCCGCCGAATGATGCACGTGGTCGTATACACGAACTTTGTTTATAGGAATTTGTTGGACAGCTAGTCTAATCCTACGAGAGCTAAAGACTTTACGTGCATTGTATTGGTTTGGTAGAATGATAGCACAACCAAGTGCATAGCTTTCTAGTCTTCCTAGGGGCTAGTAATGAATTTTTTATAGAAATATGGCTAAATGAAACTCCGAAGCACATTTGTGGCGCTACAAAAAAGGGCATACTTTAGTGTCGCACTATAAAATGAAACGAGACTCAATAACTTCTACTGATAACAGGCTGTTGCACTAATGTAGCGTCCCGAGATTGCCCGAAGACGAAAGAAGACACAATACTCGGGCAGAATATATGTATTCAGCGCAGAGAAGGTGTCTGGACTATTGGCATGGCCCAAAAGGCCAGCCCACCTCGTGTGGTACAAGGGGGCAAATTCAAAGTACAAAAGTGGCGCCTCACTAATATTGAGTGATAAACCACTGTCGTATTACATTATGTTTTCTTCCGTCTTTAGGTTCAAATTAGCTGATCTGAAGTTGAGGCAAGTGTAAAGTTATTGCAGTTTAAATCAATTTAGACCAATGTTTTGCAATGTGACTGATGTAAATGATATTAATTGCACTTTGTTCCAATTTCACTGATCTTAATCCAGGGCAATTACTCAAATGCATAGCGCGAAACGTTAGTTTGCTTTGTTTTGCCTTCTAGATGAAAAATGCAATTTAAAATTTGTAAGAGGTCATAAAAGCATTTTAATGTCAGTTTTCAAAAAATAAATTATGAGCAATTATGCATAATCAAATTGCTAATGTCTATTCGACAAATACGCTTTGGTTATGATAGACTAAAAATACCTTACTTGTATTTTATAATATAAACATTCAAGGGAAAGTTAATTTATTTTACCGCCGTTTTTGTTTGCCATTTTGAGGACATATTTTGTTTTACTTTGTTGATCGGACAATCCTTTACAAAGTAACTCGCAGGCACTTTTTTGAAAAGGAGTCCGATTGCGCGTTATTTGGTGCTTACATTGCTTCTGGCGGTACGTTAATTTACTATCGACTTTCCTCACTTTTTAATTCTAACGGATTTGATCTTTTGAAATTTACGCGATGCGTGCACAAGTTTGCTGTGTTTAGCTATTTTATGTGGATTGTCTGAAGGTTAGTTTTAGCCTGGGATAAACTTGCTGGATCACATAAGTGAAAATTTTGGAGACCCCATAAATGAGGAAACTTGTTGGCACTATACCTTGCTATCGCTGCCTACGATAAGGCATTAGGCACTTTTAAGTCAGTTGCATGTCCTAATGCTCGCTACCATGCCTTCCTAATTTCTCACCGCTTTTTGATCAAAAATAACGTCTTTTAGAGGTCATTTTTAACTAATGAGCAGTTGCAAATTAAAGTTTTTTTATTTTACAAATGTTTGCAGTCATCACATATAATGTGGCTAACATGACCTAAGGGAATTATTGTTATGGTAGACCTGTGAATACCATGTGTGCATTGTTAGTTAAACTTTCAAATAATTGTTAGTGTTAAATTTAATGGGTAAACAATATTTAAGCTTTACGACTTCCGAATCCTCAAAGCCACAGTAATGCTTCTTTAACCCTATAAAACCCGACTAATCCTGCAAGTCCAAGAAAGGGAAACACTCCATTGGTGGCTTTAGGACCAATCTGTTTCTCTTTGAATACTTTGTACTGGATGGAGGCACACTTCCATTTGTATTTTGCTCATGGTATTAAAACTACGGTGCGTGAAATTGCTGTGAAGATTACACGTCTCATAAAAAAAACATTCCTCCTTTAACATTACTTTTCTTGTGGAACAGCCACTCATTATACTACATCCAGTCAGTCGCATACTAAAGTTAAAAAGTGTTTTTTTTTTTAACTCAGGCATTTTTTTATAACGAACTGCCTGTTTAAGTGAAGATGAAGGCTTTTATTCCAGCTAAATTTAAGTGGCCAACAAATACCGATAATTGCTGTCTATTGTACTAAACTAACCTCTCCCAACCATAATGATTGCTAGGCAAACATTTAGTTTGTCACACTTATTTGTCTACAGAGCCATCAGGAAGTGAAAATATTATATCCCGCATGGAAACTATCAGTAGGTGCACTGGAGAATCAAAGTGAAACGACTTCATTGTTGAAATTTTCAATAGGCGTCATCATCTTTCGGCAATTTTCGACTAGTCCATAAGTGTCCGCATCTGGTTTAATTAGCATTTAAAGCTGTAAGACTTAGTCTGATCTAGTTAATTAATCTGTAATGCCACCTTTACTCGGCTTTTTTATTAGTACTTCAAACCAATTTTCAAACAGAACTCTGGAGCCTCCATAAATTATTCTTTTCGGAAATCCACTTTTTTGCTCTCAATTAGGGGGTCTGCCTTTAAATTAAGCTGAAGCTTCCCAAAGTTGTGCCTGTAGTCTAGCATACTTTAGCCTAAACTCTCAATTTTCATAAATGCCTCTTTTGCTCGATTCTTATAGATTTGGCAACATTTTATTTAGCTTTAAAACATTATTAATGAAATAATAAGGTCTGTAAAGATATAATATATTTTTTATGCATTAGCTACTAATTTTCCAGCCGTTGACGTTAATATGGGGTTCGTAACAGTCATCTGCAGTAATGGTGGGGGCAATAATAACAAACTACTACCCACTGAAATGAATACAGTTAGTTACAGACTTAAGATTTACTCGGCGATTTGTGTAACAGTCATTTTGAGTCCTGAAAGCGTTCTATAGCGCTCATGCTAATATTTTTTGGTCCCATAAAGTTGATCTGCTTCCCAGTTTTTAATGTCAGGTTGACTTACAGCTATAAGGTTACCAACCCTTTTAGCGGACCTTAGATATATTTCTTCTGTTGGGGTACTAATTTTGCTGTAGTAGAAAATGTTAAATGAATGTATTACCAATGAATTGTCAAGTTGGAAAGCTTACTCGGCATTGTGCAGAACTTGTAAAAAACAGATCATCTCTGTTTTACAAGTTTGTATGTTGTACTATTACATTGCGCGATATTTTAAGCACGAGACGTTTAACATATCGTTGTGAAAATGACGAGCTCGACTGTTTATTAGCGTACAAGTTAAGCACTTTTATTGAACCAGTCGTCTACTTTTACAATCTAGGAGTCTATCTTCCACCATGCAGTGAAGATAGTTGTGCAAATGTTACGCGAGCTGCGCCAAAGATTGGGGAAACAGAGTTTTGTTAGGCGCTGGGCATTGTAAGCGGAAGCCGTATCTGTGTCCTGGGAGGGTAAAGTCACCACAGCCGATATGCGTGCTAGGTATGGGGATAAAGTTCTTTCTTGCAAAATTTTTGCTAAGTTAATTGGAAGGTTGAAAATTGGTCTCTCCACTGTGATGGATTTACCGCACTCTGGAAATTCAGCCAGTTGGTGAGGCAACCGAGGTCAAATGAAGCCAGAACCCTAGAGCCAATTCGCTGAGGCGCAGGACTAGAACTTGAGAACATGCCAGAAAAACCGAATGTGAGTTTTTAGTTGCCATAAGATCGGTAAAGTACGTACTATATGAGTGCATTTAGATGTTTGGTGGAAGAGCACACCCATAAGTACCTAAACTCCTCTATGAATGAAGAAAACCCTTTTCCAAAAAACAGAACCTAAGGCTGTCTGCGTTCTCATTCACTGAGCGCTGACATAAATTGTACACCAAATGTGTGCTTAAGTGAATAAAGAGGCATTTTGCCAGATTTTAGAACTTTTCTTTGTATATTCGGCAATTCTGTCAGAAGAATCCGAGGAATTTGGCAAAAAGTGACCTTTAAATTGGAATTAGTGGGACAAAACTAGTGAGAGGCAAACTTTTGATGTCAGTATTTGCTGTCACTTAATATTTCTTTAAGCGCATAATCTCAGAAAGTAATAGAATTACGAATCGAAGTAACACATTTAAAACTACATTCCATTGTCCCCTTGCTGTGAAATCTTTTAGGTCTAAAATTGTTCCTTTGCATTAAAATGTATATTTAAATTAGTGTTTTAAAAGTGCTTTAACATGAAGCCTAATTCTTCGTAGCCACACAAGATTCCATAATTTATTTACATTTTATAATTACAGGTAGGAAGGAGGGTTACCCGTATTTTCATCAAAAGACCGGACTTTTCTACTTGTTTATTTCCTTGAATAAATGTTAAGACTTCTATTTGTGTATTTTTTGAATAACTTTCCTTTTCTTGCAGGCGGTATTTCATGGAGTTTTTTGCCGAAAATTATCGCTCTTATCACAAATATTTTAAAAGAGAAGTTGTTATGGGAATAGTTTGCTTGGTGACATTAGTAAGCCTTTTACTGTTTCGTGGTTATGCCATAGACTGGCGCTCCCGTTCACTTAGTCCTGCATCCTCCCCCATTTGCCGCTACTTTCTCAAGCCCCGAATGTCGGCACGCCCCTAGTTCCCTTCACGTGCTGCTGTCCTTAGCTCGTCTCCCTAAATACACAATGACACACAGGCGTATAACTGTAGATCTGTCAAAGGTAGGATTTCACTAGCACCAACTTCTCAAAAATGCTCAAGAGTGAATGCACATCTCTCGACTTTCGCCACCTCATTTTTCAATTCCCATAGTTCAATGTAGCACTTTGTGGTTTCGAAGCCTTGTATGGTGAGTTTTTGTCATCCATATGTTCTACCATTGAAGGAAGTCTATCTCTCTGGAACAGACAGGGAAGAATGAATGATCAACAAGCAACTGGTTTGGTGGTTATATGCAGTAGTTTGGACTGCGTTTGATGTGGTTTATTGTGCTTTTCGAAGAAGGAATAGGTGTGTCGGTAGATTAGCTCAATCTCTAGGTACTAATTTATCTATTTCAGAAACAGCCTATCCTATCAGCAGAATTTTTTTAATGGTTATTTTCATTTAATATCCTTTATAGGGAAATCCTTGAATGAAATAGGAAGGGCCTAAGCAAGCTGCTTCTGTTCATATTTTCTTTATTAAGAAGAATTTTTCTTTGAGATCCACATTTATGAAGTGAGAATTAATAAGGAACAAATACTCTTCCCATATATTTGACGCATTTGACCGCAAATTATTTAGAATAACCTTAACTCCTTCATGGGATATGTTGATACCAATTGTTTTAGTAGCCATAAGCAAAATTTTGATAGAAGTTCAACCGATTTTTGTTGGCAAATCTACTTCTCCGTCAGTTTGATATTCTAGCAATTTTAAAAATGGCTGATTCAGTCAGTAGAGAGAAAAAAGTGCTGTGGTGGCTTCACTGACACCTTTAAATTCCTCCCTTTGAAAACATCATTTTCAAGTCTTTTTTAAAGGAACCCAAGCAAATCGCCTCCTCTCGTGCATGAAAACTATTCTCATAAATTTTCGTTTGGCAATTGCGGTTATTGTTATTAGTAAGTTGGCTTTATTCTCACTCGGTGAGGAAAAAGTCCAGGACTAGTTTCGACAGTAGAAGGAATGATTTTGTGTGTTACGCTACTTCCTCTTCGAAATCCCATTATGTGAAGACCCTAAGCAAGACAACCCTTTCATTCGTAATTCAAGCGTTGGAATAATCGACTCTTGTTGGTCTATAAATATGAGTATAAAGAATTAGAATTTGTGGTAGAAATTGCAAAGATTTTTCTAGCGGACGGCCTCTTTTCTGCACTGATAACCTATCAATCTTGGCACAGGAGGAATGGTTCTACTGGTAGGGGGGAAAAATCTTCGAAAGTTAAGCTACTTACCCTTTGACATTTCTACCAGTGGAAAGCACTACTTTAAAACCGTGGGGTAGTATCTATGTGAGTCTCTTCCACTTTATAGTTCGGCAGCAGGGAACAACATTCCTAAGCGTTTTTAAAATGTGTGCATAAATGAAATTGCATTCAACCCTCCTCTTCATATATTTGGTGCTTTCATGTTCATGGTTCACCACCTGGATAGTATTTACTCTTATCAAATGGGCGATAAGTGATCACTTTTCTAAAAAGAAGTTATTGTCCAACAACTCCAATTTAGAAGTAATTTTTACTACTTCATTATCATCGAAATGATTTTAAAAGCATAGATGACTTTTCAATGGAACGACCAAATGTTTTGGATGCAATGATCACATTTCTAGACACAAATTCTGGTAACGAGACTGCCTCACATAGCTGGGAATAAATGTTTTCATTAACTCTGGAAGTTTATTGGAGCACATGCTATCCTCTGGGAGGACATTATATGGTTCGGACCAAAATTTTATTCGTAATGATACAGGTAACGATGGTAACGGGAGTATTCAGTAAGCTATTTGCCCTCTTTAGGGCTTAAATGTCCCTTGTCTTTCTCATGACCCCACACGGGATGAAACAGTGTTGACCTGTCAAGTCGTGTGAATAAACACGGTAAGGGTGCAATAAATCCGCAAAAGATTGAATTCCCAATTTGCTCCCTACACGCTCTTGAATGTGTTCATTTTTACATATCTGAAAATTTACATTACTGTGTCGGAAGGCATGGGAGATAGAGAGAGGAATGGAATAGCTTTATTTTTCTTTCCGTTCTTGTTTCCTTTATCGTATGCAAAGGCAATAAATCAGAGAGCTATCAATGTCTTTATCTACTGACTCTAAAACAACAATCATGGAAACAATTTCTGAACATTTATAGGGGGATTCATTACATAGGTCAAATGATCTGAGTCATTTGTTATGCATTAACCTATTCAAAATGCCGGGAATGCAGTTCTGTGTGTTTTTCTGATGATCACATCTGCAAAAATCCATCGGCATCTAGTAGATTTTGAAAAATACAACATTTTAGCTGGATATTTTCCATTACAATTAGGTGATCGAAAAGGTCATGAGGTTTGCAGTGCAAATGTAGCGGCTTTTATGGAAATGCAAAATACATATAGGTGTTTGTCGGCACCATTAAAGCACTGAAGGATATGCATCTATCAGTACGATGTTCTTTATTTACGGTCTTCGCTGTTTTCTTCGCGTTTTTGAAATCACCTTCGTAACATAGAGCGTTGGTAGAATTGCATGACTCTGATTTTAAGCCCTTCTGATGGACAAACCGGAGTTAACTCAACTGCGAATTTGTCTAAGCTAACGTCTCATCATATTTGCTATATAGCATTTAAGGAAGATGCAGAAGGTACTGTCCAGAAGAAATTGTGTAAACAACTCTGCCCTAATGATGAGTTTATGGGGTGTGATGTATTACGTTCTTCATAATTTCATGACTGTTCTGATCGGAATAATTCCTGATTAAGGTATAAAAACCCGCTCTTAGCAATATTTAATGAAGGTTGAGTACTAAAACATAATCATAGGAGGCTCTTAGCTTACTATTTGAGCAGATCATATAAAATATGCATAGACGTATAGCCAAGTATAATTACAAATTACTTTAAAGGTTTGTGACTTACATTTAGAACATCCTCTTTTTGTTAGCATGGAATAAATTGCCAACTTTATTTAATAATACAAAATATAGTGAAGCAATGGTGAGCAAAACTACTCAGCTCAGATAATGAAGTAACTTTAATTAATTGATGTATCATTGGGTTTTTAGTGTTCTTTGTGCACTTTAGGGAGTAGGCTAGGAAAAAACTGCTTTGGCTCCTATTTGCGTACAAAGCGAATGAGTTCTCTACTCTAAACCGCCTATTCTCTCGTAGTCCTATATTTAACCAATACCTACAAAAATATTTTGAAAATAAACGTCATATCCGGAGTTATATGAAGCGCATTATTTTACTTTCCACTTATTGTTTACCAATCCAAACGATAAGTTTGTCTTTTGAACCTCGGACTAAATGTTTTATGACAAATGTGATACTGTAGATTAACACCAGAAAAGCTGGGTTTTAAGGGTTTTCAGACAAAAACCAGAGGATTTGGTAAAGTTTTTTCATCACTGACCACAGATTTTATGGTGGGTTGAGTTGTCTAAAAGTGTTAGCCTTCGAATCTGCATCATTTTGAAGTACTGTAATGATTAACTAAAAAGAGAGTAAAAATAAAAACCAAGTTTTTTGTGGAATTCTGCCTTTTTTCTCTTTGTTGTGAATGAACTCAGCAAGATTTTTAAAATCTTTTTAAAAAACGCTTTTCCTGTTAAAAAGTTATAAATTAAGGACATACATGTTTGCCGACCTTTTTTCAACGCTTAGTTTAGCTTGTAGTTGTCTTTTACAGATTATATCTTGTGTGTTCATAGCCGATTCATTGAAAACTTGCATGTTTGTTCAAAAACCTCAACGTTTATTTTTATTTTGATTTTGTAAGTGTATTGGAATCTTGACGAGAGATTTTGTATCCACCACGACTTAGAGTTTTTGTAAAGGGATCAAGTCGTAAATTAGGTCTGCAAAGCGACTTTCTTTTGGTTTGTGGAAAAGTTCTCTTTACTAGTTGTCCATTTTAACGATCATCGAGATGACGTGTCCCATTTAAGGGCAGTTTCGACAATTATTGTGCATCCTAATCAAATTTTGTCTATCTTTAATCTGGAAAGTGTGGATCTCTCCAAGAACTTAGAGATGATATTGAAATCTGACACTGCAGCTATTCATTGATCAGTACATTCGCTACCAGAACCTCAGAGGAAATTTATTTACCACTGCATTGTTTTTTTCTCATTCTAGTTGGATGCCAATTGCCGCTGATTTTTTAAACGATTTGAATACCTCTAAAAGAGTGCTTTTAGCCTTGACCAGTCTGTTCGTGGCGGGCTTTGGCGTGGCCAGTCACTGCTAACCGATGGGCAACGCATCATATAAATCCAGTGCTCATAGCATGGATGTTTATTACTGCTATTAAAAGACGGTGGGTATGTCTTTTTCAGCAGAGGTTTTGGTTGAGTACCTTTTCGATTGAGTAAGCAATACTACGTGGGTAACTTTCACTTTAAATCTTGCCATCATAAAGCAGGGTAAGTTAAAGGTTTCCGTAACGAAACCCGACCCATATTCCTCAATTATTCGCCTTTCAACATCCTTTCATTTAATAGTTTCTACGCTTTCATGCTATAACCACTTCTACTTCGAACCTTAATTTCAGCTGCAAACGATTAAATTCCTTTAGCTTATAAAATTATTTTGGCCACCTAAATTTGCGATTTTTTCATATTATAAGCTACTAGATTTAGCTACTCCTCACTTAGCGGTTAATAAATGAATTTGTCAAATAGAAAAACGGGTAAGGTCTCATGGTTACCTTCTTGTGGAAGTAGATACTAGATTTGGTTTCTGTAAAAGCTTTTAATCATGTTAGCAATAAAGAATGGTAACGTATCAGTACCTTTGTGACTAGTTAGTTACTCTTTATTGTCACCGAATGATATGCGAAAGCATCAGGTGCGTTATCTTAAAACTCATGAGGTGATCAAATGTTAAAGGCGGAAATCAAAACTTCTCACTTTTACTCACATAAGTTGATACTATTGTAATTAAGCCAAACTTGACATCATTGTTAACCACTTCTTTTTTTTGAGTTTTACCAGGAAAAGCATATTTTTCTTTAGAATATCATTAAGACGTAAATATTGTTGGCTTATGGACTTGTAAACAGCTTAGTGGTTGGAAACCCGAATAGTTGAGTGAGGATTTCCTTGATGGCTTCCCGTTAATAAATCCGAATCCCCACAATCCTAAAATCAAGTATGAGGATGAAGTTTTCATCTCTTCAAAAGCAGTAAGGCAAATTGAGTCCCAGAAAATGATTTCAAACTCTTTCCTGATTCCTCTTTCAATCGATGCGTACAGACTTGTTATTAGTTAACGCTTTAACTCACCTAGTAAATGCTAAATCCTGTAAAATTCTTGTTTCAAAGGGTCCATCCAATCCGTGATTAGTCTAAATAGGTAGCAGCGGTGAAAAAAGTAACGGTTACCGCCACTTATTGTCGCATCGCCCGCAAATGCAAAATGCAAAAAAAGTGTGATCGAGATAAGGAAGATACGACCCTACGAGCTCTACCTACCGTCTGCACAACTTTTGGCCACTGCAATGGTCATCCAAAAGGAGAACTCATACACAGACATCTCCACACACGTCGATTCGCTGGTCTACTTGCTCCAGCACAATCTGATGGAGGGAGAAAAGCATGTACTTTGACTCCAGTTAGAAGTGAAGGAAAGGCGCGTTCCACTCTTCAATGATAATTATGTTGTGCGCGTCGGTGGCAAAGCTGAAACAAGTTTTATTACTTTAAAAAAATAGTTGACTCATCTGGTGAAGCTTCACTCCGCTTGACCTCATAGCTCTCCCTCTCCAGCCTTTCTTTGTATGTAATGTTTAATCTTTATCCTCATTTCCTTAGTTTCATTACAAAGTTCTGGGGAAAATTCACTGTTTCTCTATATGTTCAAATCATTCTACTTGTCTTTTGAGACAACGTTTATGATTTACGGGAAATTGTCAGCAACCGGAGACGTAGGCAGAGAGCTATTAAAACCGTAAATCTTTCAGCTTCTTGTGACTCCCCCAGATGCAAAAGACGTATTTTGTGAAGCGATTGCAACTCCCAATGCATGCATTCAACGGAAGATTTTTAGCCATCAGTCATCTACTTTTCCACTTGGTGCCTACTTTCCACAAATTGCCCATTTATCTGGCTTGGTGACACCTCCCTCTCTGGGCATGTAATTTATGAGTCAATAGGCGGCAAACTTAACATTTTTGAGGGGTATCTCAACCACTTTGTACCAAGAGATCTGTGACTTACAGATTGGTTATTGCAAAAATCAGCCCTGCTTTTTTGTCCGTTTTGTTCTGGACACAGTTGGACTTCTGTTAGTTGCTACCGACTGCAATTTCCCGGCCAGTTTTCTCGAGACAGTTAAAACATTCATACAGGCACTTTATTTCATTTTTTAACATAAACCTATGATAGTTGGTTTTTATTATCCAAGAAAGTACACAATGTCTCATTGCATTCACTCGTCTTTTACTTGGTTTCAAAGCACGATAACCTCGTCTGTAATTCACAAAAAACCTTTGCGGTCATTAATTGGGTCTGTAACTGGAAGACCCTAGAAACTCCGTCTTCCGCCTTCTTCCAGACCATGACGAACCAGCTCTCAGATTGCACTAAAATTGCTATGGAGAAAATCCTCACTCGTCTGACTTCATTATGCTGTCTTATTCCTTAAAAGGCTAATTGTGTTACTGACGGGTGGAAAAATAGTCACTTCTCAAAGAACACTTCGACCGATTTCGTGCAATACTTCCCATACCTCGCACATTTGTAAAAGTCAGGTGGCGAACTTTGCACGGTTTCCTGTCACTAATCCTCCAATTTACGGAGTTCATCACTAAAAACTTGTGCAGGAGTCTCATTCTTGTGCGCCAGTTGATCATCCCTGACTGTGAAACCTGCGGCCCCCTTTTATGCCACATTTAAACTCCACCAGTGCCTGCATTCGATTTTATTTCCCAAAATGTACTAACCACTTTTACACAAGAGTTCTTTAAAACAGTACACAGTGCTCTCTTTCCTCATAACAAGATGGTTGGATATCTATCCAAGTAAATAAATTTTCGATGCTCTAAATTAATAAATGGTGGTGAAAAAGAATTTAGTGTTTTTCATATCACGGCGGTGCCTATGATACGTTTGTGATAGCACTGCAGACAGCGATTGCGGAGTAGATGCAAAAAGAATGATGGAGGTGGTGGTGACGACGGTGTTGCATTGAGAAAAAGAACTGTGCTTATTGCGTGGTGTTTCAGTTGATGCATCAAAAGAAGCGATCGCAAATCGTGTTGGATGATACTTTTACCGTTACACTAATGTATATCCAGCAAGTTGAATTAAAATTAGTGTCAAAGAATTACTTTAAATAGATTTCTGTGCCTTATTCAGTTTGCGGTGGGTGGATTTTGCCTATCGGTTAGCAATCCAACCAATCAGAGAGTTCGGCTTCATTTTGAGTGCTGAAGAAGCTGCCATTTAAATTCAACCTCATCACAGTTATAGCATGGTGCAAACCACCTCTCTACGTTCCAGCGCCTCCCCATTTACGCAACTTTGGCACTAGTAAGTAGTTAAATCACTTCCATTTCTGGTTCTTTGTGTAAACTATTATGCGAGATGTGAAGAGAGTTAGCCAGTGAATTTAGGTCAAGAAATTTCGAAAGTTTTTTTTCAATGATTTTTTATAAATGCCTTGTAGTTACTCGCTTATGTGGTTTTGAGGAATTCTAAAGTTATGTTTTCTTCTTCCAAAACAGTCGTTGGTTTGTCTGCTGGTGTGATGCGGTTGCGTCAAAGCCTGAATGTTTGCATATAGTAGCTGTTAAATAGTTACTTTGGAAGGTGTATCTACCTGTCTCCCATACTAACAAATCAACCCCATTTTCCTTGTAGTTTCTCTCTCAAGCAGATAATATGTCTTCTACCGAAAATAGGTAGGCCCTTTCCTCTATTTCAGCTTTCCATCCATACATAGAGGTGATTTAATTTTCTTGGTTTTCATCCTGAAGTGAATGACTACACCTCTAAAGTATTGGAAACAAATCAAATTGAAATATTTAAATTTTAGGCGTCTGGTTTGAAAGAAAAATTCGTTGCACAGAACTTCTTATTCCCAAGCAAAACGTCTTTTTTGGGGATAAAGTAAGATATATGTGTCTGGATGAAACTGCTATGGATGTACAGGCATTTTGGTGGATTGTTAAGGGGGAGTCCACAAGAATGCAAAGCCATGACACAAATTTAGCGACTGGAACCTGTTTTTCGCCTTGCTAATTATTAATAAGAGGTTAATTTCTCAAAGCAAATTTGTTTTTTTCCCACTTTTGCTTTCATTTTTGAAGTAGGAAGGACTATTCTGGCCCTCTCTTAATCAGGGTTGCAATAACGTTGCATACTCAATTAATTCAACTATCTACGTGGATTTGTGGTTTGTTGTACAACTTAAATTTCCTCCTTCAAAGGTAAAATTGGTTTAGTTTAATCTCCCTGAAAAGATGTAGTGAAATTTGAATTTATGTGAGAGAAGGAAAAGTGTGGTTTCGCATGGACAATGCAGCGATTTAATAGAATGTCCCAGGGTTTAATGCTGTACCGCGTAGAAACGTAGAAGTAGCACTCCAAAAAGACCTAATCTGCTAAAATGAGTATCCTCTTATAAAAATCCCACCATAAAAGGTAAAATGCTTTCTCTAATCTTTTCCCTTCATAAGCATAGAGATAAGCTTTCCTAATTTTTTCGAAAGCTAATTTTTTTATTCCTTTAGTTAACTCAGCGGCTCCTCCGCTACTACCATTTCCAAGACTTAAAAGTTTGCTTCTAAAAATCTATCAAGTAACCTTATTTTCGCATAGGGATCAATTATTTATCTTCTATCCAGCATAGTATATTTTTATTGCAGCAAGCTGGGCTTCTTTATCTACCTTCCTGACCTTTATCCCCATTCAGACATAGAAAAGGATTTTTTTGTAAGGCAATTTTAATTAACCACATTTTTGAAAGTGGAGGGGGATGCTGCCTGCACGGAAGAAGGAATTGCTCACTACTCTGTTGTCCCTTTGAACTGCTTATCAACTAGTGATCCCTACCAGACACTTTAATTTATCTTGGATATTGAAACACTCGAGTGTCGTCCCAATCCCACCGCCTTTTATGGTAGGAAACTAATGGGGAGAAACATTCGCCGCAAAACTCAAACTATCTACGCGTTGCGCTGCATTCGCAAATGTAAAAATTCAAATGCCTTGTAAAAGTCCAGTAATTTTTCTATGCTTTCGCCTTTTAAAGTGAATTTTATTGCGACCGATTATTAAAGTTTGTAAAATACTGATGCTATTTTGTGACATTAGCCTCTAAAATTCAATGGATGACATATAATTCTCAAACCCTTTCCACCTTGTATCACCCTTTGTGGTGCAGAGTTGTTGTGTAATTTGTTACCTTCTTATAAATTTGAGTTCATTTTAGTCATATAAAGAGAAAAAACGGCGTTCACCTTGTATAACGCTTCTGTCCGACAAACTGGTAACTATGCTTTTTCCATCGGTGGCTGAACAAAATTCATCTTCTACTAGCGATTTACAAGTTAAGTGAGTAAGTTCGTACATCTTCATAATGAAATTTCGGTGACTTCAGAAAGGTCTTCACAGTTCCTTATTTGTTCTGATAATCGCACTCACAGCCTATGATCCTTTCTTAGTAGGAAGCTAGATCGGGAGCTCCATTTTTGTAAATTCTTTTGCCACCAAAGGCAAACGATCTAGCTCTAACCACCTCTACTTCAATTACACTTCTATTTTTTAAGTGCCTCTTTCACTGTTTTTTCGCACGTGGTTGCATAATTATTCATTACCAATTGAGACAAAAAGTGACATTCACCACCTAGAGAGATACTATTGGAGGTGTACGGAAGGTGAGGACGAGACAGTATCTGCTCCCATCAGTAAGTGCAATAGAGGGTCGTCCCAAGCCCAAGATTTGCAGCTGTACCAGATCTTGCATTTTCGCTTAATATTGACTTTCTTTTGAATGATTAGTATGTAATTCTTTATTATTTTTGAGGATGAAGTTTTCTTGGAGGTGATACACCTTTGCCTGCTTTTTAACCAGAATCAAATTGTTTATACTAGCATTAGATGATTCGTTCTGCTATTGCGCATCACACCTTTTCCAACTGTTATAAAAAATATTTCATGCCGAGCCCCTGTAGATTTGGACCCAACTTTAGCTGCATCAATAAAGCTGATATGTTTAATTGAATCTACCGGGTTTGTTTGATCGTTATTCTATGGTAGAACGTTTAGAATAACAAAAAATAATTGACGACTGATAGACCGACTAATATCCGTGCTTCATAACACAAACAAACTATCAAATGTTACAGGTCATGATGGCTTAATTAAATGAACTTTGTCGAAAATCGCAAGATTTGTTTTGGATACCTGATAATTGAGGGGCGAACAAAACTATCTGTCAGGAACAAAAGTTTTATTTGTTTGGTAGTCTTAAAGCTTTACTACCTTATTTGCGAAGGCAGTTTCAAGTATCATTAAATGTTGCCTAAAACAGGTGGCGCACGTGGTTTTTTACGAATTTCTGGGACCCGTAAAACCAATGGAAGTTTGAAGTTCTGCGTCTCTTAGTTATTTAAAACGACGTTTAAAATGCATTCCTTCCCTTATTGCAACCGCTCACACTTTGGCTTTTTAGTCTTTTCATCACCTTTTTCTGTTTGTAAACTGCTATTAGAACCATGCTGTGTACGATCGGTAACCAAAGTAAGCCTTTTGTAAAAGAAATTACTCTGTGAATCTAGCTAGCTTCTATTTACCTGGCATGTACTATGCACCTATTCATCCAATGAAAGATAAAGAGAGCACTAGCGATCCATCATTGAATTTTATGCAAATGGTTCAAATATCTCATTTTTCCACATCTAATTGAACCACACCTTCCTTGTGGCTTAATCTTGATTTATCACGTCCTGCTGCTACTTTATTTCAAAATACTATTAGCTTGCAATTGACTAATAAGTTATTAGACAAAGCCTCTTATGAAATTGTACATTTTTATTTGGCTTTGATATGCAAGTCTTTTTATTTGAACACGTCACTTTTAAAATGACGATGAATTGGATAGGAACTCAGCATGTTTGATGACATAAAGATGATAAATAGGCTGTATAAACTCCAATGGGTAACGTATTTTATGTTATTTCTCACCGCAACACCTAGTACTTTCGTTACAAGTGTCTGTCTCAATCATCACAGTTCAGGCGCCTCAATGTTTTACTCTGACACCAATTGTCACTAACTTCTTGGACTGACTTAAATGTCACTCAGAAATTAATGAATGTAATTATTCTCAGGCAATGAATGGCCTAAACATCGTTTTTCATCAAAATTAAACGCCTCTGTCTATAACGCAAGATTTTGTCCAACCACTTATTATAAAATAAAACTGGTTCCAATAGAAAGTTGGAACGTCACATATACGTGACTCTGCTAAAGGACGTGTTGATGACCATGTAAATCAAAGTAGAAACCGAAAAATGGTCGTTTTATTTCTTTTGTTTTTTGACAGACTTCTGTAATCAGGGGGAAGATAAAAGCTTTGCCCTTAATAAATCAAATGCTCTTCATTTCACATGGCGACAGATAAACTGAGCTTGCTTATTACTCATTAAAATGAAACAACAGATTTTGGTAAACAGCGGCTTTAGCTAAACAATATTTTGAAAATCGAATGCTTTGATCCTAAAAGTACGTCCCTATCTAGTTCTACCAACATTAATCGAATAATGAAGGGGAGAAAATGAATCCCGACTTGGTTAACTTCCACCCAACATTCTTTTAAAAGGTCGTCTAGATGGACCGTCCTTTGAATGATCCACGTCATCGTCATCACGCTTCCATCGCATCACAACAGCATCCGCAACGACAACTAAAGAAAGTGCAGAACCTCAGCGTTGATCTTCCCGCCCTTCCTGAAGGTCGTTTATTTTATCCCCACTCTACGTCAGACAACGAGAATCGTTCAAGAGCAAGCGAAACCACAAACATCACGATTCCAAGACGAGGTAGAGACAACGTTGAGATCAAAAATACTAACAAAATGAAGCCAAAATGGAGGTCTTGCCTTCATTACACCCCACCTCATTGGCTTCGTCACGCATCTAGTTGGATCTACCGTCATGTTGGGGGCGTGGCAGCCTACCTAGTCTTTTTTCTTCTCATCTACGCCCTTCTTTGGATATTTACTGGGGAGGAGGCACTGCCCCCGCGTTGTTATGCCTACCAGAAGTCGGGTGGCGAAAATACAAAAATTGAAGAGGTGGCAGTGTGCTATGGAGGCACAACGATGGGTATCGTGATCTTCTATGCCTTCGCATTTATAATGGGACAGTTGGTCGAATTTGTGAGACTACCTGGACTTCTGGGTAAGTTACAATTTTTTAATTGTACCTCCGAAAGGTCCGTCTTGAGAAATAGGCAGTCCAAGTGTTCAAGCATAAGCTACTCTTTCCTCAACGGTTTGATCAGTGTTAAATTTTTTCTAATATTTTTAAATAATTCCGGAGGAAGCCTTTACAGTAGGCACCATTATGTGCGGCTTATGAGAATTAACAGATTGCAAACTCCTTTTCTTATGTTCATTTTAAATGTTGCAAGCAATTCACTAATTTTTATGTAGTTGTGATAGTTGGCCCATGTTTTTGATTGGATAGTGTTGATTTTTCGAAGAAGGACCTAGCTCCATTACTGACGATTTCATACAGAAGCTAAACGCAAAAAGCTGACATAATCCTGATTTATTCCTTTTGTAATTTCGGAGTTTTAAAATCGGACTACCCTTATTAAGTTTATTAGTTTTACTATTAATGTTGAGGCGATCACAGTGAAGCCGTGACCGATAACATTTGCTAATCAGGAGCCAGCTTATATCGCATCCAGTGACATAAGCTCCCATTTTTTTTTCTGCGGCTATAAGGGACAAAGCTTGAGAGGGCTTCTTTTCTCATCTCTGTCATCCTTTTTCTTTACCATCTCTGCAAAATTGCTTCAAACTATAAAAAGAATGGCCGACTAGTTTTTCTGAATCTGGAGAGAATAATAATGTCTCCAAATTTTAATTCCTGGCACAAGCGTATTTTTGGACTCTGCTTGCGGTCGCTCTTACATTTTGGGTATCAATAACCATTAAAAAAATTATAATAAAAATATTCGTTTTGCTGCATGGCCACCTCAGGGTGACTTCTGAATAAAAGCATCTTTTACATAAGCTTTTTTTGCAAGTTTGGACAGTTTAATGAAACATACAGTAGGCAAACCCTATCTGGCTACGTCATGACTTCATTCTTCCTTTACACCTTTTAGCTTTTGATGGAACTCAGACGATTATTCGGGCTGCTTTCACCTTTTTGTAATAATAAGGCACTGAGACCTCACTCTACGATCACAGTTCCTTTTTCGTTATGACATCTTAAGTAGATCTTTAATGGATGATATCAACTTGTTTGATTTTGATTTTACTCTAGCAATGAATTTTAAGATACGTATGTCTTAAAAAAGGACGTAATAGGCCTTCCACTGTGAGTTCCCCTTGATTTGATCATTCAAAATAGATGCCTTTCCTCTGTGAGTGCTTGATTTGGTATCACTACGGGATGAAAACGGGTTAACCCTTTCTTTTGTGCAAACGAGTCAGTGCTGCTGCATGCAATTGGGGAAGGTTGGAAAGACTCACACAGTTACATGAAGAATTTAGGTATCTAAAATGAAGCTAGAGGATGAATGAATAGCGGTGGACTTAAAGTGGGTGGACGCATGGCTGTTTAGAAAGGTAGGTGAATACAAGAATGAATCTATGGATGCATAAGTTTGTCCTTTTGGGCGATGACGTAGAAGGCTTTTGAAATTGCTGGGCATCATTGCTTTTGCAAAATATGGTCAATCATTCAAGTGGATTGGAGTCAGCTGCTACCTTCACGAATACGATACACTCATGATGCATTGTGAGTTTATGGACGTAATTGCTTTTTAGCTCACTAGCTCAGAGTCTTAAGAACTTGCAAATAAATGAAATAAATGCATTTATGTTAGTAGCAGTGAAGCTCTTATAGGTTAATCTGTAAAAAGTGCAGTCAAGTTATAAACTCTTGAAACTGATAATCTACTTGTGTCAAAATAATCACGAATGCTCGACACAACGAACACGGTTTCCTTTGATGAGCATTCATTACTAAAACAACTTATGTTAAAAATTGCTTATTTTTGTTAGTTTCAGTAGGCCTTTAGGGAGAATAAAGTGTTGTGGTCCATGCATTATTCACCAGAATGTACGCGTAGGTGGTTAAGGTGGTAAAAAATGCTTAATAACTTTAGTATTAGGAGAAAAGCACTGCTTTGCTAATAACACTTAGACTAAAAATTAAATCCTCATTAAATTAAACATGTAAATATTTAAATAACAATGTGGCCATGTTTACTAGGCTTTCACGCTGTAAAATTAGTCGTCCACAAAAGACCCCATTTTTAGCTACTTTTTCGTTTAAAGCTTCTTACCGATCTGTTTAAGTGGATCTCTTTAAACATCAGCTAAATTGGTAGCACTTTCTAGAAAGGAGGTAAAGTGTTAGACCTTCCTTCTCCTGATTTTCTTAGCGCAGTATTTAGCTTAGCTCCAAAACATCAGGCCGTCATCCACGTACAGAAATAAAGAAAGGCTACTAGGGGAGCTCATGTCACCTATGTAGGGGGAAATTTCCAAGGCCGAGTTAAGTACCATTTTATTACAGGGCTTCTGTGCAGTTTTAGGTATAGCTTTCGGTGTTCCTGTAATTTTAATTCTGCATTCTTTATCAAGCATGGATTGAAACTAAACATGAAGTAGGATTGACGATTTCTTTCACATCATCACAAGAGGATTAAAAGATTACGGGCCCATTTAATTGTAGTGTTCTAGTTACCTCGGAAGACTTTCAAAGTCATCAAGTCAAGATGAGTATACAGAAGAGCAAAAAAATTTTATTTCAGTGACTAAATCTTTTGGGCCCAAAAATGAGGGTTTAATTTTAGGCATTATTAGAACAGAGATCTGAATGCCAAAGCTTCTTCTCAAATTAAACTAAACTTTGGTGCTAATGTAGCAGTTTGAAGGACTTGGAAAAAAGCTTGAATTAAATCAAGCGCAATATTTGAAACCTGATTGAAATACTTTGGACGTACTACTAAGGCACTTTTTCTATATTGTATTTTTAGTTCTTTTTATTTGGAAGATACGGAAGTAGACGACTACATTTTTTTCTTTTGAAGGAACCTTTGGAATTTTTTTTATCAGGTTAGGAGTACAAATATACGCATTGGTAACCAAGGCCTTGCAATTCAATTGGTGGCGGGCATGGGCTGTTTTTCGTCAGAAGCAAAGTTGGCATCTTAAATTTTTTTCTGAAGTAAAACTTGTTCCAAGCAAATAATATTTATTTCGGTTAACTGTTCTGGCCCGGCTAAATGCGTTTGATCATGACGCGAAGAGTAGTCAATTTTTAGGAAGAACCGGTATGCCTTGAATGTTACGCTGTGATTTTTTGGATGAACTGCAAATAAATAAGTTGGTACGTCAGAGAAGACGTGTCAAAAAAGTGTTTTCTTTCCTCAAAAGACACATTAGTGTATATGCAATGGCTAGCAATCACCCGCAGCTGGTGTGTGAGTATGGGTGGTCTGCTAGCCATAACTTATGGAAATTCTGACAAGACGGGACACATTGGGACAAAAATATTCACTTGGTCATACTTAACTGGCAAAGGATTATTTTTAAATGGTTGCAGACTATTTGCCTAAAATATACTCCTGTATCTAGACAAATCATATCCAGAGTCTCCTCTCAACAGAGCCTAACAAGGTAGCATAGGAGCCGCAATTAAGTTTTAGCCGATGGTTTACATCATAAAATTCTTTTAAATTAGGTTGAATTTTGAAAATTGAATATTTGCTATCATTTGGTGTATTTGGGTCCTAATACCTTCTTTCACCGAGATAAATTGAGTAGGTACCAGTTGAGTATTTGGACCTCATTCACTTAAGTGGTCAGTGTATTTCAACCAAATCGTTAAAAAGTTAATATAATTCATTTATTCGAAGAACAATCATGTCCCAGCAAAAGCCTTAAATAATTCTTTAGAAATCAGGATAACCTAATTTTGCTGAGACACCGAACTCAATTAGTTTTTATTAATGCAGAAACTTTTGATCGCCAAAATGTCTATTTTTAAACTCAAAAATTCAATTAACAGCTACATTCGTTAGAAGAAACACCAGCTTGTGTGTGCGATTTTAACAAAGCGCAGATGGTCTGGAGGACCATGGACGCTCAGACTTAAGTGGAGGCCACCAAGGTCTGAAAGTTGATATTGCACCAAAGTACTCCAAATTAATTGTCCCTTGGTTAGCTTGATGAATAAAATCGAATTTCTCGTTTAATACGCTGAAACAACACAATTTCCACTGCTTTTTCAGAATAAACTAATTTGTGGTTAGCTTTCATCTCAGGAGGATTTACAATAGGTACTGGGACTAAAAGATTGGTTGCTTATCTAGATGAATGAAACTCGTTATTCTCCACCCTAACACAAAAAATCACACCAGCGATAGCGCATCAAGAAAAAGTACCTGAGCAAGTCTTTAACAAGTAACGCTGCGTAGCAATGATGACAGGCGGATAATGAGGCAATGTCAGTGAACGCATGAAAGAGGAAACATCCAGACAGAAGACGCAACTCGCTGTCTAAAAGGAAACCTCGGACATTGGCAATCTGATATCTAGTTGTAGAAGTGTATTTCGCTTCATCTTGTGCCAAATGAGTGAGATAAGACTACTAAATCGGCGAACCTTTGAATTTTTTTCTTGAGGCACTTACTTTACTGGGGTGACTACTCATTTGCATAATTGAAGAGTCTAGTCGAATTCTTTTTTAGTATTTCTGGGTACTTACGATGCCTCAATTTTTGTAATCTATAATGCTACAGCTGGCAAGAGGACATATTTGATTTGCATCGTTTTTGCCAGCCAAAAACATGACAGTTATTAATTTTTAATATACTCTTTTAAATGTATTTTCTACAAAAATGTGTGAATATTAAATTGTTAGCCTATAACATCTATTAAGTGAATTTTAGTTTTGACCCAAGTACCCTGTTCGCTTTTAGGATTATTACAACAGAAAATATTATTTCTTTCGAAGCTGGGTTAAGGATTACTAGGAGATTAGCTTTGACTTTTGAATAATTGAATTCTTTCCACAAATACATCTAAACTCATCTTCTTAAGCTCATTACTTACCTCGGAACGGCTCCAAAATCAACAATTACATACATTCTTCAGGTTGCTTTTATTTATGGCAGTAGTAACTCCTGGGTTGGAAGTTGAGAGCAGCCATATCATTGTGCGTACTCCATGGAAAGGGGGTGGAATTCACTGAGGCATGTAGAACGCATCTTCCGATCTAGGATTAGCACCTCGTGGAAATAATGTGAGAAGGCACAACATGGTTCTCGTCATTTTATTCATGATTTTATCAGTGATTTTCTTTTTTCTTAAACATGTGACAGCTCGAATATTATTCCTAATACCTAATAAAAGGACAGTCTATGAGTTGCATTCGTTGTGTACATAAAGTAGTAAAAATGAACTTTTTGGTCACCATCCCCACGCATTATTTGAAGTCTCCATTATCACCATGGCAACAAAAGACAAACTTAAACACCTTTATTTTCTTGTTCGCGACTAGTTTGCCCACTGTAGGCATTCCCGAACAACCGCGATCATGACTCTTCTTACTTCTTGTAAAAGCTTGTAAAGAAATCCTTATTAAAGTGCCTTATTGTACCGAAATAGATATTTCTAACTTGTCAACACCAATTTCATCCTTCATCGTATTTATGCCACTATGATTATTATGTTAATTTTTGCGTAAGTAATTCACTATTACTTAAATAGGAATTACTGGATTATTTACTCGTTTATTCTAAGCTACAAAGTGTTTTTGCCTTGTAGTTCTTTGGTATCGTTTATTAAGGCTTGTTTTCTCTCATTGTAGTAGCAATTTTCCGTTGTGACAGTTATCTATGGTGAATAAATCCCTTTTGCCGTGGCATTGAATGCCTAATGGGAAGAGATAAACCGACCTACCTCTATAGTTAGGCATTGTGTAAAAGAAGAGGGCAGGATTTTAAAAGTTTGCTGCTGGTATCATTTTGGAATTCGAAATTTTGTTTTGCCAAAGGCATACGGGTTCTTACATAGCGTATGGCTACTTATGTCTAGTAAACCGAGTATCCTTTCAATTTATTGCATGGGTTGTCACTCCTATGGATGAAAATAACAATTAAATCCATGCACAAATTGCACCAAAGAGGAAGACACAGTATTTGTCAAGAAGCACAAATTTATTTGCATCGGATTAACTGCTCAGGGCGGGAATCGAGTTTTTTCCATAGGCATTCAAAAGTCGGAAAGCGGTTATATTAGTGAAGCAGATGTAAAGCGCTGCAGGCTTCCACTTGCTTGCAATTTTGGCTCTAAGGAATGAATAACAAACTCTTACACTGATTTTTGAAAGCAGGTTAATAATAGTTAAGGGAACTTTGAGATGGTTAAAGCACGAATAATTGGATTGATAGTAGCCTGCTTCATGACGAACGCAAGATTTGCAAACTGTGATACTATACAGTTTTAAGGGACAATTATATTTGTAAGTATCCTCATTGCTACTCTGATACCAGTACAGTGCTCAATGGGAGTTATAATTTAAAAATGATATTTGTTAAAATCGGCTTAATTTGATTAATGCTCATGTAAAATGCATTCACAATTATACCTACAGAAGTAGATAAAAGGTAGATTTCAAGCTAGAAATCGCAGATTATTATCTAGGGCTTTTTTCGACAGAAATGAGTGTTATTTAAATTAGCCTCATCAAACTAGCTTTTTGCTGCTTTTCTGCCAATTTCATATCCTCATGACTCTTGAGTACGTATTTCTTCGCGGTACAACATAAGCTACCATGCCATAGCAAGTTCGATGGGCTTAAATGACCTACTAATGTTTGAGTTTAGGTAAAATAATGCAATCATTTGAGTTGTTCATAAAAAGATTGGACTGGACTACCATCAGAGCGAATCTTTAGTCAAATTTCAGGGGGATTTTTTAAGTGATAGATCTTGATAAAGATGATATGCACTGAAATATACACATTTACTAAAACCAATTATTTGACTATCATTAACATCATTTTATTTTCTATTTCACCGTTTCATTCAGATTTCGTTACGAATACTAATTTACTCTGAAGGACACTAAGCTGCTCCAAGTTGATTTATGTGGCTACGTTAACACCACCAACTGTTAACAGTAGCCGCTATGCACGTATTCATGTGCATGGTTTACATTCCACCTAAATTCTTTTTCGTCTTTTTGGAATGGCATACTTTTTTTAAAAATTAATCCTTCATGCTGTAGTATTGAAGATTTGGCCTTCGGATTTTAGTAGTTTTGGAAATACACAAAACAGTGGTGGATTTAAAAAATCCTTCACCGAACAGCTCTTCACTATCCGCGCCGGTGATTGTTGTCCATACATTTTTGACAGGAAGGTAAGTATTTATCAAATCAGTCAAAATTTCTACTTTTCTGATTTCCAATCGACTGATACCGTTTTTGTACAGGCTTTTAAAAAGAATCTTGCAAAAAAACTACAATCCAACAAACCTGCCAAACATGCCTTGACTAGTCCATTTTAACCTGGGAAGCATCATGGAAATTAGTTAAAAAAGTAGAAATAGGACTATGCTTTCATGACTATGCTTAGCAACAGTTTTTTCCCTTGAGATGTTGCGGATAAGATTAAACAAATGCCACTTATGTTTTTTTCGGAAGTTGGCATTTTGCCAAAATGGCAGTAAGCGCTGCGCATTAATGCAAATAGTAGGTCGGTAAGGATAAAAATAAATATTTGTACATAGATAATAAAGGTAAGGTTAATGCTTCAGGAAAAAATTTACTCATTGGTTTAAAGTAGTATGTTGGACTAGTGAGCGAAAGAGAAAGGGAGAGGTGATCTTATTTCTGTTTCTAGGAGGATATGCCTTAAATTGGAGTGTTTGCATCAATATAGAGGATTGGCTAGCCATAACTCAAGGAAAGACTATTATGCTCGACTCAAAGTGCTTATCCTAATTGGAAACAATAAGTAATAAAAAATGAAGCCAATTTTGGTTTTTTCCAACAGGAATTAGGACATGCAGGTCCCTTTATTCTTCGTGCATTCCACCTTTGTTAATGAAAGTGCCATATAACTAAATTATCTCAATAATGTAAAGAAATTAGGGTAGTAAAAGCCTTTATTCTAAGTCCTTTTTTACCTAGAAAGGGCAAACATTGACAGCGCGAAGTATAACTGACGCGGTTAGCCTTAAAATAGACTGATCAGTTTAATGTGTTCGCCTTAAGTCATGGCTATTTTTTTAACCATCTAGGGAGATCAATCCCAAAAACGGAATTTTAACAAAGAAGCATCTGATTGTTTCCTTCCCTTTCTTGTTCCTTTTTTAAAAAAATTAGACCAATGGTAAAAAATTTCTACAGAAACATATTTTTTGCCACAATTGGATAATATTTTGTCATTTAAAGCAAGTAGGCATTATATTATTTGGTTTTGATTTTAAACTTGAAGAGACTGCTTGCAGCCTGGAGTACCCATACGGTAAGAATATTGCCTTGAAATCGCTTAAATTCAAAAAATTTTTCAATCGAGAACTACGAGAAATGGATGTCCTTATTCTATCCGCACGTTTGAAAGTCTGAATTTCCAGAAACAGCTGGGAGTCTTTTCTTTTTTAATAAAAGCCTGGATTCATTTAAACTGCAATATTTTTTTGGAAAGGAGAATGAAAATTAAAAATTTAGCAGTAAGCTACCCTAAGCGCTGCGTTGATAAAAGCTTTTAATTTCCTCCACACTCGCCTTTTAAGAAAGATTTCAGCTACAAAATGAAGCAAACACGAGTTCGCTGTTAGACATCTCCGGAGTTAAATCCCAATCCAGAGTGTGGTAAAACCTTAATATAATGAAATTTTTATCTTAAACGAGTTTATTACAAAAAATTTCCTTTACGCGCTATTTAAAGGAGTTTATTTCACTTCACCTATTTCTTTTTTAAAATATCTTAATTAAATCTGAATCTCTTTTAAGAGCAGCTCCTTAACCGAAATCCAAAATTTTATACGATTTACGGGCCAAAAGTTACTATTTTTAAACAAATACAGAGTAGAACCTTTTTATTTCATCAAGAGTAGAATGTTATCTGTCCCCGTATGTATGTCAAACTAAATCACTCCACGCGCAGGTGTCAACTCTGCTTAATGGCTTTGCACGAGGGCAACCAGACACCTGCTTGCCTGTCCATCCGCCACTCTGCTTGTATGTGAATGTGTTTAAGGTCAAAGTTCGCACTTCTATGCATTCAGAAACGTTTTTGGAATCATTACCAAGAGAGCACAAAAATTTTTACCAATTCTTGTGCATTTTGATAGATGGAGCTTTGAGCTAATGCGAATGCTCCAAAATGGATATAATTTTAAAATAACATTTTAAGCCTCTTTTAAAAAATGGGGCTAGTCGTGAGTCTCTAAGAAAAATATACTACTATTTTTATTTTCTTGACTGCAAAGCATTTAAAGTGACTCACTTCGTTACGTAGACAGTGAATGCAATTAGGTAGTATTTGAGCACTTTTTGCATTAACCAGGTAGTAAACTTGACAACTTAAGCTTTCATTTTCAAACCATATGATTAATGTGTTGCATTGTTTCTAAAAAAATCCACGTGCAGATACCCAAAATGATTTTCCAGTAAAACAACTAAAAATCAAAGTGCTATCACTTTCTTCGAATTTGCGCATTGAATTGCTTTTTCTGCCATAAAAGTAGCAAGTACGAACCCTTTAATTACTACAGGGTGGTCTGACGCTCGTCACCACACGCATGGCGAATATGATGGTTTCACACGACTGCAACAGGGCACTTGTCCGTGTGCCCTCCAGGGCTCACAATTTTATGGGCTTTAGGGAGACGTCAAAGGGGGCCAACTTGTAAATTTTTTTTCCCAAGAAGACAAATGCCACAACTACTAGCGAAACGCAAAATGGCCCTCCTTTGTTACAAATCCTGCGAATTTAATAAGCAAACAATTTAGATATCAACTAATACATGGAAAAACTTCTTGTTAGAGGCAATTTTTGGGGGTTACTTCGAATTTTTGGTAGAAATAGAGAGTAAAATTGTGAGAATGGTTAGTTATCTGCTTTAAATTAAGATACTTTATTTTCTGCTTGAGAAATGACTGAGTTTTCTACCCAAGAAAGACACTGATTTTTTTACAAATTAAGCTTTATGGGAAATTAATTTGGTAGGAGTTTGAGCCGTCGCAAGTAATTTAAATGATAAGTGCCGAGTTGCTTTTTGTTGTTACTCTCCAAATTTCTTAGAAGTAATGCTATTTTTTGTAATCATTTGGATAAAAATATCTCTACTACCGTCAAACTTTAGTTATGGAGCATCGGGCACTGAGCCTCATCGTACGAACTGTTGTAACCCCTCAATTTTTCCTTGGTGCCCTAGTGTGCATCGCCGGTTTGAGTGAAGATGTATTATCAGTGGATAGAAGGACTGCGGGCTTATGGGCATGGTTAAATGGTCAGGGAGCCAAAAAGTAAGTAAAAACCACCGGAACTGGAGGTTTCACGCATCTAAGCATACAGTTAAAGGAAAACTCGGATTTTTACTAGAAGATGCTTAAAATATCCTTTTTTATTCCTATTTTGTCCCCACAGGTCAAGGAAGTCGAATGTTGATTCTCGCCAACAAATTATGTGCAGATTTGTGAATAAAAAGTAACTTTGAATAAATTTCGTAATGTCTTGCAGCTCTAATAAACCATTTTTCCCTTTAGCGTTAATTTTAAGTGTGCAAAACGAAAAGAATGTGAGTGTTAAGTTAATAAGCAGGAGTCGATTTAGCTAGTCCCTAGCTGATTGATGTATTTCGAGAAATTTTATGACTTTCTCACCACTTTTGAAACACTAGGACAAATGGCCTGCCCAGATTCGAAACGTGGTTAAAAGTACTTTTTTGGAAAAAATAAACAGTAAGTACAAGTACAAGCCATGAAGGCGAGCTGCCGCCTGTCACCACATACACATAAATCATTTCACTAGTAAATGTCAAACTCAATTGCTTTCTATGATTGCATCCAGAAGGCCACCTGCCTGTCCTCAGGTATTAAGGTAAATCAAAGATGGAGTGCATTTCATTGTGTTGGCGTGGCTCTTTTGGCACGAAACCAACAGTACTTTGCTCGAATTTTACATTAAATGTAGGAACGATTAGTAGCCATTCGTGCAGATATTGGGAGTTATCAAACTGGTAAGCAGTAAAAGCATTTCTTCTCATTCAAAAATGGTATAAATATTTGAACTCCTTTGTCAGCTGTTTAAATTCGGAAGCACAAAATCCTTTTTGTAATCGTATATTTAAAAGAGCAACTTAAGATCCAAGATTTATTTTAGCTCTGTAGATGTGACCACAGTTAATTTACACCTAAGCCTTTCTTTTTAAAAGATGACCGCTAGAACTTTAGGATATTTTTTTGATAATTACAAAAAGTTTACAAGCGAACATCTTTTTTATCCAATGCGATATGGGATTCCTTTAGAACAAAAAAAATTGTACTTACTTTCCACTACAACTTTCATTTTGAATATTTCTCCTAAAAAACGGGGCAACATTGCTTTTGTCAAGTAAGGGTTAAGGATATTTTCATGGACCCTTGTCCAGCCGCATAACTGACGTAGAGTGTGATTTTTTGTTTCAGCGGTTATAGGCCCCAAGTCATAGCAGTACGTTACTTTAAGCCCTTTTTCGAATCGAAATTGTGAAATATCAACGTTTATTACATCAGAACGATACATCATGGACATAACTACCAGTCTATGTATGAAAGCGTTTCTAAAAACAAATTAGTACTCCCCATAAAGTGGATGATAAATTTTCTGCAATTTATAGTTGGTTAATATTTGGGCGAATATGTTAACCGAAGTAGCATTTGTTTCAAAACCCAAAAGGCCTTCAGAGGGAAGAAGAGGTGTATCACTTTTCAAGGCTATGATTTAAACATTCCTATAAGAGAAATTTGAGCGCTCTGGAAGCTGATTTCACATTACTGATGGTATTTGCGTATATTTTTAAGCTAGAGGGTTTTCAAAGGTCGGATCCGTTTCCGTTCCTCCACACTGTCTTCGCAACTTCAGCAACTCACAATAAATACATTGCTTTTGGGTCCTTCGGACTTGGTAACTAACTAATGTGGTCTGAAGTTTTGCCCATTTAATTTGGATCCTCCCACTACTATCACTCATGGGGTTTCGAGTCATCCCTGGCGATGTAATATGGTATCCTATTGTAAGGGCATAGTTTATTATTAGCGTAAAAATGGTCTATAGTTTTATGAGCATGGAGGGAAGGCCATGTCGTCAAAGTAAGGAAAGGGGCTCACGGAGACTGAATTGCCTTTGCAGTGGAATGCTTCTTTAAAGTCGACACTACGCATCACTAGGCCCCTTCAGGAAGTGTTCATGTAACTTTGGAAGAGTTGCAGAGCACCAACTGTTAACTCATTGCCAAACCTTGCCTTCCCTTGGTCTTTTTGTTCTCATCCCTTTTCTGCTTGCCACACATTAGTTAAATCATTTGGTTGCATGTTTTTCTTTTCTTGTCTTCCAATCGAGCATTTGATGTTGCCAGCACGGTCCCTTAATGAGCATCCTTCAAAATTAGCCTAATTACTCGGACGAGGTACCGTAGTTTATTTCATTTTCCCTTAGGAAGAAAAGATTTAAATTTAGGTTCAAGAGAACCAAAACTGTTTTTTTTTGTCTTTTAAATCCCAAATTAATTTAAAGTTGTTCAAATTTTGCCATAGCTTACGTATTCTTATTCCGAATTCCCTTATAAGCACCCCTATTTATAAGTTCTGAGCTGGAGTCGATACCACCACTTCCAAGTGACTGCCTGGAAATTCCTCCCCAGTTTCTTTTGCTCCTTCAACAGTCTTGGAGTACGTGGCCATATAAATGTTATGTGGTAATTTTTATTGCCTTTAAAACAAAGGATTATGAATTAGATAATACTAGTACTCTGATGCTGATCTCAGATCTAAATTTTTGTACAGTAAAAAGGCCTTTTTATTACGTAACTGTCTAAAGTATCTTGATAAAATTAACTGAATATTTTGATACTGCTTACTGAGATTTTCCGACAACAGTGTCGACTTTTTATTTGACTATTCAGTAATTTTCTTCTCTTTCAAATTCACAAACCAAGTTGGCTTAAGGGAAGCTCTCATTAGTTAGCTTAGAACGCAAATTCATTTTCCGGATTTAAAATTGCAAAAGGACTTGAATAAACTCTCACTGTTCAAATGATCAAATGCTTTTGATCGGAGATGGAACTGGTGGTCACTAAATAAGATAAGAATTTCTCCTTTAAAGTTTCCACTGATTTTGAAATGTTTTCCATCAGAAACTAATCGCGCCTGTTTTTTTCTTCTTGAACAAAACCGCATATATTGGTTATTGCAATAGCTAGTTTCGTGTTTTGAAAGGAAAATTCAGTAGGATTTTAAAAATTTAGCAAGGTTTTTACAATTTTATAAAGTGAAGCTAGTAATAATGAAATTTGAAATTGGGATCTTTTCTGGAAACGGATGTGTTGCGATTGTTCTTACGAGAATTTACAGGCATTAAAAGTTTGATGCCCAAAAAGCCCAAATGAAGCACTTTACCGGCAAGCTAAAGGGGATTTTATGGTTTCAGCGGAAACATGTTAGTCGCACCTATTGTCATTCCCGCATCCTCATTAACCAATCATGTTGGTTTTTCTATACCAGCTAATTTAAAAACGAACCTTGTTTATAAAAAAAGTTACACAGCACTTTAATTTAATTTTATTTAACGCCTTTGTCTCTTCTCTGCTTGAACTAGCTAGCCAATCACCTTTCTTCTCGAAATGGAGCACAATTATTAGTTGATTAGAATTAATATGCATCCCTCAGTGTTTATGCATCTTGGAAAAGACTGATTTCTTTACCATTTTAACATAAATATTTCGAATTTTAAGCCCGAGAAGATTTGGTGGGGTGCCTGATGATGGGAGTACTGACAATGGACAATAAGCATTATTTATAATTGCAAAGTTCCTTTCTTGTAAGGAATTTGGTAGTTGTTAACACTTAGCGTTTGACGAACTTGGGGTTGTGCAGTAACGGTGTTCTTTTAATGCATTAGTAGTGTGTTTACGGTCTTGCAACAAAAAAAAAACAAAAGCGCATTAAGTTAAGAAGTAAACACCTCAATTTTACTTAATAATTCGTAGCATTTAACTCAATTTTTCCTTTCCTTCCCCTATTTCACGATTTGCACATGAATTATGACTCATGATGGTTTTATTGAAAGTTTGTGATTCTCCCTCTATTGGTACCACATCCTGGAAAGTTGGCTACAGTTTTTTGAAGTTAGTGCGTGACAGAAAATTTGTTTGAATGTAAACCTAAATAAATGCAAATACACTTATACTACTTACAATTTTCAGCAACTATTAGGTGACCAAAAATTGCTTGCTCACTATTTGGTTTATAGTAATTTAACTATTTGTTTGCAAAATTCATCTTATTGTTTATCCTCACGCATTATGACGACTGATCGAAGTGCATCACTCTGTTGGTGCGCTACTACTTATTGCGGTAGAATCCACCTACTTAGTATAAGTGCGCAGGAATTAGTTTCCCTTGAGAAGAGGTCAGAACTAGTAAAATAGTGGCGAGAAGACAAAAATGTTTCAAAATAATGCACAACCTCTGACTGCATATCTCATACCATGATTATGAAAGATACCTGTGAGAAGATCACTCTTTGCAATGCGTAGGTGGGAAGCAGGAATGACTGTCTCACCCTTGCTCCCTGTACACTTCCGATGGTGTCTGTACGTATGATAATTATCATCTTTTCATGGAATTGGCATTCGCCGACCACATGACTACATGCAAGATGGGGTGGAATAGAAGGAAATGGACATTTTCGAAGCGGAAATAAAGTAGAATCAGAAGTGTCTGGGTCCAGGATTTTTAACTTTTACAACTAAAGTATTCTGCAAAAATCGACTTCGCAGCTGGCTTGAATCCGTTTGGGAAAAGACGATAAATGTCAGTGGTTAAGATTTTAAACCGTTAGCATTTTTTGGGAAACTTTTTGCGGTTGTCCAATGTTTGATGTAAAAATCGCACGAAAATATTCATCTATTTTGTACTAATTTAGTCTCCTATCACCCACCCTTCTGCACTGACTACCGCTATCGTGTTCGCATGAATTGAGATCAATCTCCGAACTATAATGAAGGTTATAAGTTAATTTACCAACACATTGCAAGGCCTTCTAAATTCAACGTTAGCTACACATATTGGGGAAATCGACTTGACTAAACAACCTCACCCTGTGCTGGAAAAATCATGCTGACAGTACTTGAATAAGACGTGTTATTCAAAGCTGGATGATGTCTCACAGCACTCGTGTTTCCAGACTTAAGACAGCCACAAATTAAAACCCGTTTAATAAACTTCTAGGCAACTAATGACATCGTTATTAACGTCCAAATTTCGCTCATTTGTGCAACTTTATAAAAACTTATCCCATCAATTAAATTTCTGATTTTGGATCACCGTCAATCTGAGCTATCTTCTTTTTTTTCATAACATGAACGTCGGCTCATCAATTCATGATATTGTTGGAGTAGTCATTGAAATTCGGGGCACTTTGAAAGTCCACGCAGATGTGGCCACTTGTGAAGGGTCAGCAATCCTGCTCTCCCACCAATTCACAAGATGGTCATGGAAATATCTAGTGTCTAATAATTATTCTGTTGTGGATTTTCACAGATACACCCTTTTCGCGTAGTCTTAAATATCCGGTAAGTTGAGCAGACTAATTTTTTCGTCGCGTCGGTCGGTGTTGCCTATTAGCCGTTGCTCATAAATAAAATTTTGCTTTAGATTCATTCCGAACCCGTCATATTTAACCTAGTGCCTGTTTTGAGGGTAAGAATAGGTAGGCACTTATCAAAATCACCAACACCACGTTGTACCACCTTAGTCCATCGTAGGGTGAGTTTCTCAGTTTGTCTTAAAATTGGGTTCAGCCTGGTCTAGATCTAGCTCCGCTGACAGTATTAGCCCAACAAACATTCAAATTCTGTAGCTTTTTTGCATACCAGATTCCAGAGAGTCTTGGTTTCACTAAAACTTACAAATGAATCGCATGACTGTTTTTTGTACTAATTTTGCTTTTAAACCTTCACACAGGTATGCTAATGAGTGGCCTTATTCTCCGCTGCATCAGTGTTTTCATTACTCCCTATGAAATATTCATGGGTGGACCGCCAACAGCCGAAACAACAAGCAACACCACCACCAAAGCTGCAGCCGTCTTTTACACCCCCCTCATCGCCTTTCCCACTGCCGCCTTCTCCAACAATATTGCGAACACCACTCAACAATTGACAGATCCACTGATTATTCTGGCAGCCATATTGAGGGTGAATAAGGCACTCTCCAGTGCTCTGCGTCAGATCGCCTTGGCCACAATCCTTACTCGAGCTGGGCTAGGATTAGAACCCGCCACTCTAAAACGCATCTGGAGTAGCATGATCAGATTGACGTGCCTGCCGTGTCTCACTGAGGCGCTTGTATGCACCCTCGTCTCAAAATTCCTCATGAATTGGCCCTGGCCGTGGGCGGCTATGATGGGGTGAGTTCGTTGTGTTGCTGTAGCTTCAGGATTATGCTCAAAGCGATTTTGCTGTATAATGTGGGTGTAGTTTTATTATGATAGTACAAGAAGGCTGATGGAAAGCTGATAGAGATCACAATAAGGAACATTTCCATGCATCTGACAATCCCAAGACATTACGGGCAGTCAATGTATTCATTTACACTTTGATTTATTCATGATACGTCCTTACAATAAGTGGGGAGAAAGCGAAGAGACCAAAGACGAACTTCAAATCAACACTGATAGGCTTTATATTTTAAATGGGTGATTATGTGCTTGAATTTGGGTCCTGTTGAGTCTTCAGGCGGAATAATTCAATGATAACTCATTATGAATGTATTAGCGACCCGAATTAGTAACTTAAAGGTGCAGCATGTGCGTACGTGATTGCTAGCCGGAGGTTGGAGACCGCTGGAATCACGGGGTGATTAAAGTTTGTGTGATGCTGGCCTTCGAGTTATTGTTATCGTACTTGAAGCCCACCTCGATGGGATACTGGCCACCCAGAGAACTTAACTAGAGCGCGAGTTTCATGTCTTTTCGAAATGCTTTTGAACTGGGTGCAAAAACGGATCAGAGGAATATTTTGCTGGTGTTACAAGCTTTCCTGAAAGTAATGATTGAAACTTAATGAAGCAATGGATGTAAAAAAGGAAAGAGGAGCTTAAGTTTGAGGTATAAACTAAGCGAAATAGCTTTCATTACAGTACCTATCTAAATCTGCCTATTTGTCAAGAAGTTTTAGGCAAACGTGAAAATTGGGCAAAGAAAATTTTTTTTTCAATTAGGCAATCAGTATAATTATGAAATTTAGTACAGACGTCAGTTTCTGAACTGACCAGAGTTCCTAAATATTTGCTTAATGTCATTTCCTTCTAATTTCGCGTGACTGAAGTGATTACCCTGATAGAAATTAAGCAGCAACGGGCCCCAAAAACAATCAACAAAATGTGGACCAGAAAAACAGCTTCATTGAAAACATTTTTCTATTCGTAGCCGAAAAAGATGCATTTTACCATTTATTTTCACCAAATAGCTTCACTTTGGCCGCCGTTTCACCAGCTGTAGTGGTGCCAAACATGCTCCGCTTGGAGGTCGCAGGATGGGGAGTGGCCGCGGGAATTCCTACCCTCGTTATGGCCGCCTCCAGTCTGGATGACGTTCTTGCAATCACGGGTTTCGGCGTGTCGCAGGCCATTGCCTTCGCTCAGGGGGATATCGCAATCGTTGCTATCTCAGGTCCACTGGAGGTGCTAGCTGGTGCCTGTCTGGGCGTCTGTCTTGCAATTGTCTTTTGGCTTCTGCCACCACCTGGAATGGTTAGTCTTTCCAGCTCATTTTGGCACCTGTGATGTTACCTAACATTGGCATTTGAGACTATTGACTCATTTGCTTTTCAATTCTTTTGTCAGAAAGTGGCGCCTATACTGATTTCATCTCTTGGTTTCCTATTTTCTTTTTTCCTCCTACTTTTCAGATGTTAGTTGAAAGAGACGCTTCGTTGTTCTATGCATAATTTATCTTCTCACCTTTGAAGTTTTTAAACATCATTTACAAGATTCTTGTCCCCCGGAAATTGGAGCATATCTTTTTTTGCATCCTGTTATTTTTGCCTCTTCCACCAATGGAATTCTAGTTATTAGTTTTCTTTTAAGGCGCTCAGGCCTTGTTAGTTTCTTTAAATTCGCAAATTGCTCTCGGAAGAGCTTTTGCAGCCCTGAAAACACTCTATTTTTCTCCCAATGCCTTATCAATCTCACCGGTGTCTTTCTTTCAAACGCTATTTGGAAGAGATTTTCTGCATCCTTAGACATCGGTGGCTTTCGTATCTTGCATCCCAGTCGCCAGATCCCTTTTAAAGTTCTTATTGAAACTCATCAAAGCGTATGCTTTGACCCCTATTTAAACCAAAAATATTACTTCTTTGCTCCCGTAAAAAATTGATGTCCTCACCCACTGCAAAGTAAATTTTATTCTTTCTTAAGAATTTTTCAGCTGAGTACTTTCGTCTTCCGGACACTAGTTAGTTCCTTACTACTCTACGCTTCTTCTACCTTATAGGCTTAATTTGAAGGATGTTTTGCTGTTCTGAGACAGCATCGACTGTCGCATATAACTCCAAAGCTGTAACACTGCTTCTGGATGGTTATTCTTGCTCAAGAATTGCGTCGACTCCACCTCAAGTGCTAGGTGAAGACTACACTTTGCTGTTTTATTCACTTACTCATTTTGATTGACTATTCTATTTCAATAGTCGCGTTTTTTAGACTAATTTGCTGCCCAGAGATGCTGACCATGTCAAGATCCATCCCAGACCCTAATGTGTAAGTTCTGGCGGATTCTCTTTTGTCCTTTAATCACTCTACCTCTTTCAACATGCTAACTACAAGTGCTGCTTTATTATCACTAAATAGCTCATCCGTCTTCAGATCTGTCGTTTGCCTCTCAAAAGACTGGCCAAATTAAAGAACTGCTTCTTTAACTTTTTAGCTTCTTGCCTTCTCCTTCCGTCTCTCTGAGGGTTGTTGTCTAGGAAACTGGATCTTTTGTCCTCTTCTTATTAGTTTAGAATTGGTTAACAGAACAGAAAAACAATGTTACTATTAAAGCTTGCTACTTTATGCATAAGACCATGCTTAGTTTGGCCATTTTATATGCGATATACAAAGAGAAACTTAGCAGATGTGCAAAAATTCGTGTGGTTTGCGGTATAGGTTGCGACAATGACGCTCACAATTATCCATGAGAGTGGATTATAAAAAGAGATGCGTCATTTAATTGGCATGATGCTCGTTATTGTATCCCACCTTTTCTTGCTTTGAGCCCCCAAGTCACCAAATTTTGATTGAACACAATAGGTCTACTTCCAGCTTGATCGTTTTACAAGCAAATGTGCAAACTCCTTCCCCCTAACTTTATTGTCAAACACGTAAAGAAGATGAGATACGGTGCAGCTTAGCGTGCTGGTATAAGCAGGCACAGAAGTACTCTCTGTCCTTGATGGTAATGCAGGCGTTTGTTTCATAACCGATGATGGAGAAATACCACAAACGCAGAACACTCTACCACATTTAACTGGACTTGAGAGGTGCAATGAGGCGTTAGCACCTACTTCAGGCGGATAGTGAGCTCGTGATGGCGACTGAACAGATGGGTCACACACACACACACACAGTGCGCCACATGCCACATCCCATATTCCACATGCCACATGCACTAACAGATGACAAGCGATAACCTTGGTGACGGTCACTTTGTTGTTCTGCACTTCTTTTGCATGCGTTATAAAACCCCTTTATGATTTCAAATTGTTTACCGGCCATCTTACCTCGTGGCTAGAAGAATGCGCATGATTTGTGTACTTCTGATGTCTGTGTGTGATGGTTTTTCGGTACGGTTGTCCGCTATGGCATTTCTGGTGTGAAAATCACACAATACAGAAGGCGTTCAAAAATTACTTCTCCTTGGGAAGGCATCGCGTCTAGTGAATCAGTGACAAGACGTTCGCATCATCAAAAGACGACGTAAGACCTTTTATCTAATACGTTATTTTACACGTCACTGAATTCACTGATGAAGAGACCTAATGCCGCATTTCAGTGTAAGTGAGAGGGAGAGAGGACCGAAGAGAGACTGCTCCATCCTCATCCAGATCTCCATCTTTCATATACCCTCCGTGATGTCTCTGCAGGTGTTGATTGTCACATTTCCTTGGAATTAGCATTCGACAATTATGTAATCACTTGATAAATAGAACAAAATGAAAGTAAATGGATGGTGAGCAGCATTGAGATCTTGGCTTTGTCTTGGCCTCTTGCGCCAAAACGTTTTATACACATGGAATTTGTGAGAACTTTGCATCTTGTTAGGAATAGGAATATAATTTCTGTTACTTCAGCACATTGGACGTGTTAGGAATTTTCCTCCCGTTACTTAACTTTATTGTAAAAGGATACTAATTCGCTTGTTTCTTTTTGCATCCAGATGGTTGAATCATAGATAGTTGACGAATCCTGGCAGTGAAGATCTGATAGTTTTATATTTTGCATCTTCAGCTGAACCAACACTCTTCATGTTGCTTAAATTCACTAGTTAAATCACTGGACCATAAAGTTATTCATTGTACTTCAACTTTATGGTTAAATTCCCTAGAGGAATGAATCAGCAGTTTAAAAAAATTAACTAAAAGTGATGTCCCTCTGCGGTCATTTAATTGATTCAGACTGTATGTACAATAAATTAAACCCAGTTGCCGCTTGTCTCTTGTGCATCCTTTTAGCACCATAGCAACTGTACAAATATTTTTTTTTACCAGCGCATCATCTCCTAGAAGGCACCCTTGACGGAATACAGATCTGTATTAATAGCAAAATTAACTAATGCAGCTGGAGTGATGAAGGACTAAACCTGCCAAAAGTTCCAGAAGCTGAATTCTTCATTAATGAGAATGTGATGACATACACTTAATTGCTGAGGCTTCTTTGCATAATCCCTTCTAATTTTTAAGTGAACAAATCAAAACAGGATTCACATAAAATGACGGCTGGTGTAAACACAAGCAAAGTGCAAATAACAAACTTTTATAAACTCAAACCAGCCAATGGGATGCAGTCTGTCAGAATGTCCTCATTTTTAAGAACTCGACAAAAAATGTCTCAAGCAGTTGTTGAAAAATGATGAAAAATAATCACTACAGCTGAACAAGCAAATATCACTTAGTTGGCTTGCAAAGAGCCCTACTCGCAGTTAGAATTTTTGCTAGATCATTTATCTGCGGTCTAGCGGCCAACCAAAGTGAATTTTTTTTGCCAAAAAATGGTGAAATGGGAAAATGGCTTCTTCTTTTCCATCACAGTTTTTCTGGGGAGATTCCACTAACTCATACTACTCACTCCATTTCGCTTTCATTTCTACGTTAAGCTTTCTGTTATTTCCCTCAACCGGTAGCTGGAGATAGTGACACTCCATATTTCGGTTGTGGTTGGTCCCTTTAAATTTCCACCTAGAATTTTCTCATGATTTCATCCACCTTCTAAAACTTTATGCAGCATGTTCTGATGAAAGCAGCACTTGATGTTGCTTTAAATCATACTCTCAATTCTTCAGCTTTCGTTAACTCCTTTTTATTTTTTATTAATTGGAAGATTTCAGAGCAGAAATCTTTATTATTGGAGCGCGGTACTCGCCGGCCGGAGTCATGGTCTTGGTCTTCGTCGTTTTTATAATAATCACTGATTAGACCTAATTTAACCGTAGCTCTAATTGCAAAATGTTTCTAGAATACTCCGAAAAAGGAACTTTGAAATAAAAACGCTTTTCCAGGCGTTATTAGCATTCCCTGGAATCTATTTTAATTGTTGAAGATTCTTTTACCTTTTTTTCATAAAGATTTCTGGATTTCCAGGCTTTTCTAGCTTCTTCTCTCCTTTTTTCAACCCTTTTACCCATCTAACTGCCTATCTGAGTACCAATTCGTGTATCCATTAGCCTCTGGTCCATCCTTACTTCAATATAGCTGCAATTTCCATTTTTTACAGTCTCTTCATTAAAAAATTCATCCTTATTCATCAGCCTTCTTATGTACCCATTCACGCGTCAAAGTATTTGTGCATTTGTCTATTTATCTATTCATCAGTCCACCCATTAATTCGTCTACGCCTCTCTTTGTCCACGTATCCAAATGTATGTCCGCCTCTCAATCCATAAGTCTGTCTGTCTGTCAGCCATCCTTCCACCTATCCTAAATTAATTTTCCATTTGTTTGTCGTTCTTCCTATCCAGCCACCTACCTCTAACTAATCCATCATTTTGTCCATTCAGTTGGCCTGGATCTGTCCATCCACTCGTTCATCCATCCGTATGCTTGAAAGCTGCGTTAGTTATTCATACTTCTATCGAACGACTGCTACCTTCATTCTTTCACTAACTTACCTTCTTGTCTAACTAACCAGCTACCCACCCATTTGACCATCCGACACCCACTCATCGACCCAATTTCTCATTTATTTATCTTCCCGTGTGCCTACTCATCTACCTATTTGGGTGTCCTAATTTCACTTATATATTTGTCCACTCACCTATCACTTAATTTATTTCTCTACCTTTCCTCTTCTTCAAAAATTTATTCAACATAGATACAAATTTTTGCGCATTCATCCATTACTCCGGACATTCTTTAAACTGAATACTGAAGTGTCCATTAATCCTTTTTTTCATTAATATATTTGTCTAGTTACTGACCCCCCACCTATTTGTCTAATTTTACACTCTTTAGGAGGTGTGGTCTTTTGAAGTTAACAGAGGTCTGCATTTATCCCCCACAGGAACACAGCAACTCGCTTCGTGGCATCCTCCTCTACTCCGTCTCCATTGCAGCCATCACCGGCACCATCAAGATGGGCCTCCCCGGAGCTGGAGCTCTGTGCTGCCTCGTCTGCAGTCTCACTTGCTCAGCCGGTTGGCAGCACGGAATGCCCTGGCGCTTCAAACACAAGGCTCGGCGCTCCACCCTCGCTACGCAGCCCTCCATCTACGACTATGAAGACGAAGGAAACTCGGACGTGGAAGCCAATCGGCACAATGACTTAGGACCTCGTCGTAGCTCCGATTCCTTGGTTGAGGGGTCGGAATCAGTTCTGACAGAGCACCATGAGTACTACCGACAGCATTTGCGATCATTAAGACGTCTGTTAAAGAAGACGGGACGGGCTGGGAGTAAGAACGCATTAGCTACGGTTTCAAAAAGGAGAAGATTTTCTTTGCCCGAACCAAAACCACAGTATGAGGTGGATGATTTTGAGATGATTGGTGAGTTTTTGAGTCCGTCTCTCACGTATTAAAAATACCAATTCGTTTGTTTATTTATTAGCGTATCTATCTACAATTTGGATACTCGTTTAATCGAGCACACGTCAAATTGTTCATTACTTCCCCGGCAGCTCATTTGTTCACACTTTAATGCTGTTTGAGTAATTTATTTGTCTAGTCATTTGTTTGTCTGTTGATTTATGCTTATTCTTCCGGTGTATTCTGGCACTCAGTTCTTCAATCCATTCGTTTCTCTTTCTAAATACTTAGTTGTTCCCCCATGAAATTATGTAATCGCTCATTCACATGCCCGTCCTTTTTCCATCTTTCCGGCCATCAATTTGCTTTTCAGTTATCCACCTCTCTGCCTGCTAACCAATCCACCCCTCTTGGCACCCTTTCCTCTGTCATTTTTATCTCTTTAATCATAAAATTACCTACTCATTTGAATATTTATTCAGCTACACACCCAGCTATCTACTCCTTTCTTCATCCGTCCATCTGATTATCAAACTATCTACCCCCTAATCCATATCACATATCCAGTCATCAGCCTTCCTAGCATTTATACACCTATTAATCCATTCATCCATGTGCACATCCACTCTTTCATTGCTTTACCTTCCTTTCCTCCTGTTAATTTACCTCCCTGTCTGCTCATTATTCTTCCCCATCCATCTGCCTTATACCCATCCACCTAAATACTTGTATATTTATCTACTTCTCCATTCATTAGCTTAATTGCTTATCAGTTGGCTGATCCATCCATTCATGTAGATCACGGCTGGGTGTCAGATTCTCATTCCCCCACGTATGGAAACTAATATCTGCCCCCAAAATCCTATCCTATTTGGTCTCTCTTGTTCCTAATTTCTGTAACGTTATGACTCTCACTAATCAAAACACGATGTACAAGTTCCATTTAGCATTATTCACGTAAAACTGCAATCCATCCGCGTTTGATTCCCATTGCGAATTGAGCTAAAATATTCCAAACCACATGAAACACTAGCAAGTGGAGTAATTAACCTCGCGGAACAGTAAATACATGGTAAAGTTGTGTGCAACAAGCAGATACTTTTAAGGAAATCCCATTGTGAAAGGCGGATGAATTCGCCTAAACATGCCATTGCGTCGGAAGAGGAGGATTGAGAGCGAAGTAAAAGTAGCAAAAAGAAGGTGGCAGTGGTGATATATGGTTCAGATTGATGGTCATTAACCAACCAGCCTTGAAGGAGTAAAAGCAATTGCATATGGATAACGCTTCCACCATATAACACACACTAACGATTACCCGATCACGGACCATTAATAAGTCTTTCCGGACACGAGATAGTAAATACATATCGTTTAAAAAGTTGTTTGACAAGTATGAGGTACCACTGATTGTCCAAGCGCCAAAGTGTTTTTCGGCACCTTTCCAACTACCAGATATTCTTGGCGACTGGGCATATGGTAAATTATTTATCTTTAGGGATACACATCTTACAGATGTGTCAAATGCTAATCTTTAGCCACCTTCTATTTGTGTACATTATTTTAAACGTTCTTTACTCCGTTGTTGTGGTTGAAAAGTGAGCAGTCTCCGTTTTACCAGTGTGACCTCTTGAATACCACCAATCCAAACATCGATGGCAAATCTCCTGATATTATATGTCTAATTAAATGAATTTATGCTTCTAGGCTATCTTATCTTCACGATACTCCGTATGAATACAGTATGAACGTTGAGATTTTGGACTCTTACCTTGTTAAACCATTCTTCATTGACGACACATACGTTTGAAGCCCGATTTTCTTTTCTGAGTCCACATATCACAAATGTAGAACAAATGCTCTTTATTAGCTCCATGGGAACTAATTGCGTTAAGTCATTTGTTAGAAACCGACTAGCTAAGTTTGAAACGGTAAAAAAATTACAAGGTGTCCTTTTTTTGCCAAGAGTTGCTGCATTTCGGTTTTTCTGAGTAGCAACTGACTTGGCCAGTTCGGTGATGCACTTTGCTAATGCCATTCTAGAATAATAAAAGATCTTTGCTGCGAAAGGCAATTTTCCTCTAAGCCCTTGGTAGGGAACTTGTTTACCCTTGTGCAGCTTTAATTTAGTACGAAAAGTAACTTTAACATTTTGCCAAAAACGTCTCTAATCCCACAAAAAAATAAAATGTAAAAGGGTTATATTTTTATCAAACTCAAAGGAAGTTTTGGCTAGAATGAAACGGGTCGTAAAGCTACCATTAAAATAATTTTCAATCTTCAAGTAAAGTAATTATTTAAGTGCTAAAGATATACCATATTTCCTTTTGTTGTAGTATTTTATCGCTTATTCTTGTCACAATTATCAACACCTAGTTCTGGGAAAAAATTACCTGTTTCATTTTTGAATAGGGCAGTTTTTACTCTCTTACCTGACTTTCCATTTTCAAAGAAATTCAATTCAAATGAAGTTGAAGAAAATCTTCGATAAAACTCTTCATCTTTTTCAGGAAATTGAGGTTGCTGGATGAACTTCGGTCGAGTTAGTAGTAATATCATACTTTAAAATCCCTCAAGAAAATGCATGAAGCAGACTTTTGTGCTTCGGTTAGCTAATCACTCGGTTTTAATTACAGTTGAACTCTTGTTTATGACATATTTTTCAGAACTCTTTTGGTCGAGAAGATTCCCTACTAGGCAAAACTCTTATGGCTTTTTGGAGGGATGGAGCTAATTGCCGATGTGGGTACTCAAAAATGGTTATAAAATTGCGATATTAATCTTTAAAGCAGTGGAATAATCACTCCATGATCCTTGAAGTCTCATTCGTCACAAACTCATCGTGAGATAATGTGATAATTTTAAGAACCAAGGCGCCTATTAAGTAACATTTCATCATCATTTTAGACCGACATCTCGACAGTCAATAGAGAGAAAAGAATGTTTTTGGAAGTTTCTTCCTAATTTTTTTGAATGTATTCCAGAGTTCTCTTATTTGTGACTATAGCTGATTGGCCATCCAGAGCACTCTACATTCGTCTCAGTGCTTAATTCCTGACGGGTTAATCTACTTAGAGACCAGTCTAGCAGAAAAACGCATCCTTCTGTGGTAAAACCACGCAAATACAAAGGTGAAAATTTGCTCGCAGCATATTACCTTCTGTCCACAACAGCTGGTGTTCAACAGAATGATGATTTTTCCTTTATTATACGCACAAATTTCTTCTACCTCTAAAACGACAGCTACGATTATGCTAAAACACTCTTACGACCGGTATATTAGGTCGAAGTGGCTCCTTGACATGCTTGGTCACGAGTAAATATTACTACTCCTTCTCCTAGTTCATCTTTATTAACAAAATTTTAGATGTAATACCTATAAATTCCCCTCGGAAGACTGAGCCTCTTTTGGTATAGGCATTCCTCGATTATACAACGATTTTGCACTAAAATCAGGAAATGCGAACTTCCGCTTACAATAAATCTTTCACTTCTAAAAGGCATACTAGAAGGTTCTATCTCAGGGGAAAGTTGACTACCACAACCGCCCAAATGTTACCTTTTCAGATATGACACGAGCACTTGTACTACCCCACGGGCCATTTCTAGTACTGCCCTGTTTAAACACCACCAGTCTACCGGCATTACACCATTCGATACAACTGTGGTTTAGGGATTTGATTCAGGACGGGGAACTGCGTCGGCCATCATGCGTGTCCATAGATAGATGCAGGAACACTAACCTAAAAGCAGATTTGAGTAAGGAAGTACAAGATTTAAAACAGGTCCATAGGGGACGGTAGGGAAAATCCGTAACGAAACTTCCAGATGGTTCACGGCTAGTGTCGCTTCAGTTGTTAATAGCTTTTCTGCAGAACACGGGACTGGGAGAGATGCCGAAGGTAGACGTCAGCATCAGCTCTTCTATTAGGGGTCATCATTATTCTCCCATCCGTTGCATATGTACTTCTTCCGCTCTACTAAGGCTTATCACGCAGACGTGGAAAAATCAGGATGCATGTCATTTAAGACTGGGTTCGCTTTCCGCTGCCACCAATGTAGCGTCTCGCCCCTGTCACACTCCTGTGACGATGAAAGTCGGGATGCCACATACATATGTCGCTGGTAGCGATCAAGTATTTTAATTATGCTTGCAAATGTGGCAAATCCGGTGGACCTGGAGGCATCGCCAAGCACGATTCTTCAAATATTTTGGGCTGTGGTGGTACATTTTCCTTGGGAGTAGCTCCTAGTAACAAATTTGTCAAAATATATTCCTGCGTTTAAGGATTAGTTAGGAGAGCAATGCATAGATTTGCACATACTTCGCCTATCATGTTTGACATGAGGATAAAATTTGGAACACGTGAAGACATTGTCGACGAAATTATTCATTTAACCCATTTTTTATCTACAAAACTCAAATTCAGTGGTCCCATTTTAAAGTGCTTGAATCACTACTTCTGAATTTGTCCTAGCCGGTTTTACTATCAATGAATCTTGAATTTCTTCCTAACATGAATTAAAAATGACACCTTTCTCCAGTTTTATTTGTTTTAACTCATCTCATTTTATAACTTCGCATAACAAATGAACCACAAATCACTTTAAGTTGGTCCTATAAAAGGTAACTATGCTTGGTATGTCTCTCCGCTCTGTAGAAAATGCGGAATTCCAGTTACTCCTGAAGGAGCTGAAAGTAGTTTCATTATTACTACGAAAAATAAATGGGTGGCTAGCTGCTTTGGACCATTTTCACGCCAACGGCGTGGAAGCTAATGTAAGTGTTTTTTCACGATTTCTGTAGTTAAAATTAGGTAAACATCCTTTAAAAGGCCTTCAAAGTTAGTATCTTCCGAAAAGTGGGCTAAGGTTTGAAGTATAAATATAAATATAATTGCAGTGGATATCAAATCATGTAGGGCCACTAAAATCACTTAAAATCGGATGGCCAAAGTTGCCGCAGTTTTCGGTTTAACTCGCTGCGATGACCCTTCGTAATCTATAAAGAATAGTAAAATGAATGCTAGTCAGTCCACTGCTATGATGCTCCGTATTGTGCTCTGTACTGTTCTGTTTTCTTTAACCCTTAGCCACAAATCATCAGTCCAAATCAAAGCATGCAATTCGATCTTATGCGCCTTGTGAAGCGAGTTTACCCCGGTAAAAAAAAATCTGCCAAAGTTCCCCATAACATGTACTACTTAGCGATAAGAGAAGATTCCGCAGAAAAGTAACAGTTAAATTTTACACTTTGATGAGTAAACTGAGGTAAGAAAAGCCCTTGCATTTTAAAATAAGGTGAAGGAACATGTAGTTATTTATCCACCCACTTTGTCACTTTCATAGAGCGGCTCTTTATCCCCAGAAGGCGGCGCTCGATTTGCATGTATGTTGCGCGTGTTCGAAGAAACTACAGACGCGATCCCGTGATTAGAATTTATTGGCGATTGTATTCAATTAGCAACTGAGTTCACCGGCTTGACATCACTCAAAAGTTCATTTTCAGCACTAAAATAAACAATGGGATACTGTGAAAATAGTACTATTCTACACAATACACAGCGCATGACCTCACACCGTATTTTAGGATACCGCCACTTTCTCCAAATACTTCAGGCGGTTAAACTCCAAGCGATAAGTATCAACCTTCCGTAGAATTATACTATCAAAAAGGAAATGCAAAACATTTGAGAGATGTAGCTTAGGAAGGAGCGAATGCGATCCTACTGGATGTTTTGCCTTAACAGATAAAAGATTGCGAAATGGTAAATTGGTGGGTTTGCGCCTAGTTGAGAAAGGATTAATGGCGACAAATGTATTTTCCACACACAATGTTTGGTGTGTT